ACAAATAAAGTGTTTGTTATAAAAAGTGAGACTAAAGCCTGATGATAAGTGAGCTCAGGCTTGTCAGTGCAAGAATGTTTTGAAAGTTCGTTTTTTAGTGGAAAAAGTTCCCTTGCTGCTGTGAGCCTGTTCATTTTTGTTCAACTATTTGTTACTAAGTTGGGTATTATCGCAAATAATTTATCTGGCGTTAATAATTTTTACAATGTGCTGTGTTTTTTTTTTTAAATTAAATATCGGCTATTACATGTTTACACTTTCAAAGTAAAAAAAAAAAGCAGAAAATAAAACAAATTTAACTCTTATAAAGCTTTTAACTACACTAAAAATAAAGAACGAAAAAAGGCCCATGTTAAACGACATTCAGATTGCTGACATTGTTTAAAGTTATTTTTAGAGCATTAATTCCAGTATTAATAACAAGTTATAAATTTTATTTTGTTCAAACCAGATATCTTGGTTAATTTGGTTTTGTTACGCCATGATTAATTGCCTATATCAAAGGCAACTAGTTGGCTCACATCCGCGTGCAGCTCCTGTCTGTCATCATCTTTATTACGTGCATATTGTAACATTACAAATTACGACCACACCTAAACCACCACCTTGTCCACACCTAAACCACCACCAGGTCCACACCTAAACCACCACCAGGTCCACACCTAAACCACCACCAGGTCCACACCTAAACCACCACCAGGTCCACACCTAAACCACCACCAGGTCCACACCTAAACCACCACCAGGTCCACACCTAAACCACCACCTTGTCCACACCTAAACCACCACCACGACCACACCTAAACCACCACCTTGTCCACACCTAAACCACCACCAGGTCCACACCTAAACCACCACCAGGTCCACACCTAAACCACCACCAGGTCCACACCTAAACCACCACCTTGTCCACACCTAAACCACCACCAGGTCCACACCTAGACCACCACCGTGTCCACACCTAAACCACCACCAGGTCCACACCTAAACCACCACCTTGTCCACACCTAAACCACCACCTTGTCAACACTTTAACCACCACCTTGTCAACACGTTAACCACCACCTTGTCCACACCTAAACCACCACCAGGTCCACACCTAAACCACCACCTTGTCCACACCTAAACCACCACCTTGTCCACACGTTAACCACCACCTTGTCCACACCTAAACCACCACCAGGTCCACACCTAAACCACCACCTTGTCCACACCTAAACCACCACCTTGTCAACACGTTAACCACCACCTTGTCCACACCTAAACCACCACCAGGTCCACACCTAAACCACCACCAGGTCCACACCTAAACCACCATCTTGTCCACACCTAAACCACCACCTTGTCCACACCTAAACCACCACCTTGTCCACACCTAAACCACCACCAGGTCCACACCTAAACCACCACCTTGTCCACACCTAAACCACCACCAGGTCCACACCTAAACCACCACCTTGTCCACACCTAAACCACCACCAGGACCACACCTAAACCACCACCTTGTCCACACCTAAACCACCACCTTGTCCACACCTAAACCACCACCTTGTCCACACCTAAACCACCACCATGTCCACACCTAAACCACCACCTTGTCAACACGTTAACCACCACCTTGTCCACACCTAAACCACCACCTTGTCCACACCTAAACCACCACCAGGTCCACACTAAACCACCATCTTGTCCACACCTAAACCACCACCTTGTCCACACCTAAACCACCACCTTGTCCACACCTAAACCACCACCAGGTCCACACCTAAACCACCACCTTGTCCACACCTAAACCACCACCAGGTCCACACCTAAACCACCACCTTGTCCACACCTAAACCACCACCTTGTCCACACCTAAACCACCACCTTGTCCACACCTAAACCACCACCAGGTCCACACCTAAACCACCACCTTGTCCACACCTAAACCACCACCAGGTCCACACCTAAACCACCACCTTGTCCACACCTAAACCACCACCAGGTCCACACCTAAACCACCACCTTGTCCACACCTAAACCACCACCAGGACCACACCTAAACCACCACCTTGTCCACACCTAAACCACCACCTTGTCCACACCTAAACCACCACCAGGTCCACACCTAAACCACCACCTTGTCCACACCTAAACCACCACCTTGTCCACACCTAAACCACCACCAGGTCCACACCTAAACCACCATCTTGTCCACACCTAAACCACCACCTTGTCAACACGTTAACCACCACCTTGTCCACACCTAAACCACCACCTTGTCCACACCTAAACCACCACCAGGTCCACACCTAAACCACCATCTTGTCCACACCTAAACCACCACCTTGTCCACACCTAAACCACCACCAGGTCCACACCTAAACCACCACCTTGTCCACACCTAAACCACCACCAGGTCCACACCTAAACCACCACCTTGTCCACACCTAAACCACCACCTTGTCCACACCTAAACCACCACCAGGTCCACACCTAAACCACCACCTTGTCCACACCTAAACGACCACCACGACCACACCTAAACCACCACCAGGTCCACACCTAAACCACCACCAGGTCCACACCTAAACCACCACCTTGTCCACACCTAAACCACCACCAGGTCCACACCTAAACCACCACCTTGTCCACACCTAAACGACCACCACGACCACACCTAAACCACCACCAGGTCCACACCTAAACCACCACCAGGTCCACACCTAAACCACCACCTTGTCCACACCTAAACCACCACCTTGTCCACACCTAAACCACCACCTTGTCCACACCTAAACCACCACCAGGTCCACACCTAGACCACCACCTTGTCCACACCTAAACCACCACCAGGTCCACACCTAAACCACCACCTTGTCCACACCTAAACCACCACCTTGTCAATACTTTAACCACCACCTTGTCAACACGTTAACCACCACCTTGTCCACACCTAAACCACCACCAGGTCCACACCTAAACCACCACCTTGTCCACACCTAAACCACCACCAGGTCCACACCTAAACCACCACCTTGTCCACACGTTAACCACCACCTTGTCCACACCTAAACCACCACCAGGTCCACACCTAAACCACCACCTTGTCCACACCTAAACCACCACCTTGTCCACACGTTAACCACCACCTTGTCCACACCTAAACCACCACCAGGTCCACACCTAAACCACCACCTTGTCCACACCTAAACCACCACCTTGTCAACACGTAAACCACCACCTTGTCCACACCTAAACCACCACCAGGTCCACACCTAAACCACCACCTTGTCCACACCTAAACCACCACCTTGACCACACCTAAACCACCACCAGGTCCACACCTAAACCACCACCTTGTCCACACCTAAACCACCACCAGGTCCACACCTAAACCACCACCTTGTCCACACGTTAACCACCACCTTGTCCACACCTAAACCACCACCAGGTCCACACCTAAACCACCACCTTGTCCACACCTAAACCACCACCTTGTCCACACGTTAACCACCACCTTGTCCACACCTAAACCACCACCAGGTCCACACCTAAACCACCACCTTGTCCACACCTAAACCACCACCTTGTCCACACCTAAACCACCACCAGGTCCACACCTAAACCACCACCAGGTCCACACCTAAACCACCACCTTGTCCACACCTAAACCACCACCTTGTCCACACCTAAACCACCACCAGGTCCACACCTAAACCACCACCAGGTCCACACCTAAACCACCACCAGGTCCACACCTAAACCACCACCAGGTCCACACCTAAACCACCACCTTGTCCACACGTTAACCACCACCTTGTCCACACCTAAACCACCACCAGGTCCACACCTAAACCACCACCTTGTCCACACCTAAACCACCACCTTGTCCACACGTTAACCACCACCTTGTCCACACCTAAACCACCACCAGGTCCACACCTAAACCACCACCTTGTCCACACCTAAACCACCACCAGGTCCACACCTAAACCACCACCTTGTCCACACCTAAACCACCACCTTGTCCACACCTAAACCACCACCAGGTCCACACCTAAACCACCACCTTGTCCACACCTAAACCACCACCAGGTCCACACCTAAACCACCACCAGGTCCACACCTAAACCACCACCAGGTCCACACCTAAACCACCACCTTGTCCACACCTAAACCACCACCAGGTCCACACCTAAACCACCACCAGGTCCACACCTAAACCACCACCTTGTCCACACCTAAACCACCACCAGGACCACGCCTAAACCACCACCAGGTCCACACCTAAACCACCACCTTGTCAACACGTTAACCACAACAGCGCAAGATGTAATATTGGAACGTTACTAGCCTACAGAACACACATGTTTAAGTTTGTCTAGAAACCTGGCCGTATTTGTTGTGACCTCATCAGCTCGAACAACGCCTCATTAATGAAACAGATATTTAACTACGGGTGGCAGTCCATCGATCTTCTTACTTGTGTGTGTTTTCATTCATTGAAAGCAATCACTACATTCATCCTTGCAAAACCTGCTCTCTATTTAACAACACTAAAACGATCTTCCACTTTAAACATTGCATGGTAATTTATTTCTGTATCGTTTTGTTCTTTACATTCTATAGCACCGGCCATGGGGTAAATTATAATAGAAAATATATTTCAATAACTTTAAATACTTACTCTCAAAGTGTGTATATACGCATGTCTATTTATAGAAGTCTTGCCCATACATTGTTCTTTGTGCTAGGTTTTGTCACGCGAGCACGTGCAGATGGATTCAGTTTGTCTGACAAAACTGTTTCCGTTTTTAGGCTGGCACCATCAGCTGGCTTGTGACGTCATAAGTACACGCTGACTCGTGTCTACTTAGTTTTCTAGCTTATTGCTTGACAATACCGTGGTGGAGCTGCGGCTTTGAATGAAAACACGGGGGAGGGATGTGAACAAATGACAGCGGTCAATTAAACTCATGCTGGTCACTTTCATACCAAACTGTTAGGCCTATGGAGACTTATTAGCATAAAAATGGTGTTTGAATAACAGAATGATATTTTTTTTTTCTTTGAGATGTTGATACTATATAAAGTGTTGCCATTCCTTTTTTCATTGACATGAAAGTAGTCTTTATATGACCCATATGAAACAGAAGTTGATATCACATATATTGAAGTAAAATTGAAACCACCCGTTGAACATTGTATACCATCTAGCAGTGTATACATATCATAGTGACGTGGTTTCTTGAGTGATGTTTGTCATCTCAATGGATGATTTGAAGGAAAGGTTGGCGATGCCAGTCATGCTGGAGCCGTTGAGACTGGTCTCAGACACACGGCTCAGCTCCGTTAGATCTGTCTCACTCAGGTTATGATGTAACCTGACCTGGTTTCTTTCAATTCTCACCACGTGGTCTCCGTACACAGGATCACTATGGTAACCGCACAGTGGATTGATGTAGGAGATGGCGCCAGTCCCGGGCTCTTTGGGCGTGTCCCGCCGGCGATACTTGAAGTACTTGATCAGGTTGATCTCCGAGATGAAATGGTTCATTATAATATGCACGTGCAGAGTTCTAAAGGCCTGCAGGGCCGAGCTAAAGAGGGATTTAACCAGGAACACGGGTATGAAGTAGATGACAACCGCATCACTATAGTCGTAGTCTGACAGAAGGCACTGGCGACAGGCGAGGGCGATGTAGACGAAGAAGGGGAGGTAACACAGCAGCCACGTCACACACTCGGCTATGATGGTCCGATGGAGGTGGTGGTACTTCCTCGCCTCCAGCGTGCGGGTAGAGAAGACGTCGGTCTTGGGGATGGTGTAGGATTTATTCAGCGACACCATGCAGGCGATGCACGCCACAACACAGACAACGATGATGAAGCCCGAGAAGAGGAGATAGTGCCAGGGGTAGAAGTCGAAGAAGCGATGGGTGTAGTCGTGGTCGTGCCAGCCCACAAGTGGCAGAAAGCCGAGGATGAAGGCGCCGTTCCAGACCAGAAGCATGATGGTGATAACTGTGTCTTTGTCCATCTGGTAGGGGGGGGGGGGAATCATAAAATTCGGCATTAAAACTTTTTATTATCAATAAACACATCCAGCAACTCACCTGTCTAACCCTTACACCCTGCCAACCACCTGTCTTACCCTCACACCCTACCTACCACCTGTCTCACACTCTACCAACCACCTGTCTTACCCTCACACCCTACCAACCACCTGTCTCACCCTCATACCCTACCAACCACCTGTCTTACCCTCACACTCCACCAACCACCTGTCTTACCCTCACACTCCACCAACCACCTGTCTTACCCTCACACCCTACCAACCACCTCTCTTACCCTCACACCCTACCTACCACCTGTTTTACCCTCACACCCTACCTACCACCTGTCTTACCCTCATACCCTACCAACCACCTGTCTTACCCTCACACTCCACCAACCACCTGTCTTACCCTCACACCCTACCAACCACCTGTCTTACCCTCACACCCTACCAACCACCTGTTTTACCCTCACACCCTACCAACCACCTGTTTTACCCTCACACCCTACCAACCACCTGTCTTACCCCCACACCCTACCAACCACCTGTTTTACCCTCACACCCTACCAACCACCTGTTTTACCCTCACACTCCACCAACCACCTGTCTTACCCTCACACCCTATCTACTACCTGTCTTACCCTCACACCCTACCAACCACCTGTCTTACCACCCTCACACCCTACCAACCACCTGTTTTACCCTCACACTCCACCAACCACCTGTCTTACCCTCACACCCTACCAACCACCTGTCTTACCACCCTCACACCCTACCAACCACCTGTCTTACCACCCTCACACTCCACCAACCACCTGTCTTACCCTCACACTACCAACCACCTGTCTAACCTCACACCCTACCAACCACCTGTCTTACCCTCATACCCTACCAGCCACCTGTCTCACCCTCACACTCTACCAACCACCTGTCTTACCCTCACACCCTACCAACCGCCTGTTTTACCCTCATACCCTACCAACCACCTGTCTTACCATCACACCCTACCAACCACCTGTCTCACCCTCACACACTACCAACCAGCTGTCTCACCCTCACCCCCTACCAACCACCTGTCTCACCCTCATACCCTACCAACCACCCGTCTTACCCTCACACCCTACCTACCACCTGTCTTACCCTCACACCCTACCAATCACCCGTCTCACACCAACATCCCACCAACTCACCTGGGCATACTTGAGCGGCCTGGCCAGCTTGAGATAACAGTCAATATTGAGAGAGAGCAGTGACATGGTGGAGGCGAGAGACGCCGTGAAGAAGAGGCTGTCGGGCAGGAAGAAATTGATGTTGAGCGTATCTAAATACATGAGCATGATCATCTTGGACACGCCGTAGGTAGACATGAGGATGTCAGACAGGCACAAACTCCTGAGGAACACCAGGGTGGCGCTGCGGCCCCCGCTGGTGTAGCGGGTCGCCATCAAGACCAGCGAGCTGCATAGGAAGACGAACGCTGAGAAACATAAAATGGTGACTATGGCCGTGAACTGAGGGACACCAGGAAATAGACCAGAGCCCGGGGTGAGGTGTGGGGGAAGAGCTGTCGTATTGACCACCGTCAAGTTGATGTAGCCATTATCTGTTCTGTTAATACTTTCTTCTTTGGTTCGGTTTATCGTTTCTGAATCACTGGGACATATGACGCTGAGATCACATGGCATTTCTTAGTGAAGGTTACCGTACACTTTCAGCTACCATTTCTCGTGCTTCTAAGATCACATTTCTTAGTAAAGGTTGGTACCGTTCCCTGTCTCTTTTATCTCTTCAAAACATGTGTGCTCATCCGGATGTAGACAAGCCTGATGTATGCTATGATCTCATCATTCTAAAAATAGAAGCGATGCATGTTCTCATCAAGTGACATCAGTCCTAGAAACGTTATCGTCCTCCCGGTATGCAAGGAGAAATCAAACATTCATTGTTTACACCGTTCTGAACAGGAATCTTTCGGTAAACATCGTGACCACGGATGTTTGCGGTAAACAGAGTTGATCTGGGTACTTTTCATCAGCTCTTAGCATCCCATTAATGTGTCCCGTCTCGTCTAGACCGGGCTGTCGTTGTTACTATGACGTACAAGCGAATAAGAGTATTAAAATTAAGACGCCATAGATACGGCATCTATGAGTGATGATGGATCGATGCTAGATAGCGGCCATTTCACGGCCACATTAGCTACTAGTTGTCACGTGATCTCCACTTAGCCGCAGGAGTTAGCAACCGGAGGACGATTCATCAACAGGGATTCATCTCGGTCTTTCATGTCTACCAAATCAATCATGACACAATTCTTTTTTTTTTCTTCAATTTTTCGTTTTCACAATAGAACTATTCCTATTAAAATGAATGAATCAATACAATTCGAACGTTATCCAGTATCGCTATCGAATGACAAGCAAGTGCGTGTGTCAGTATTTTTAGAGACAACAGTGGTTTTTATGAAATCTCTCCTGCTCTATTTCCGCTGGCGTGTTCCATTGTTTGAGTCTGTTTGTCGGCTACATGACACTGTTGTGTCTGGCGTGGTCTGGCTCGTTCTGGTCAATATACTGTGGATGTAAAACATTTTTAAATGTAGAGCCTTGATCCTGGTCTATGGTCACCACCAGCCCATGGTCACCACCTGCCCCTGGTCACCACCCGTCCATGGTCACCACCTGCCCTGGTCACCACCCGTCCATGGTCACCACCTGCCCCTGGTCACCACCTGCCCCTGGTCACCACCCGACCATGGTCACCACCTGCCCCTGGTCACCACCCGACCATGGTCACCACCTGCCCCTGGTCACCACCCGACCATGGTCACCACCTGCCCCTGGTCACCACCCGTCCATGGTCACCACCTGCCTCTGGTCACCACCCGACCATGGTCACCACCTGCCCCTGGTCACCACCCGACCATGGTCACCACCTGCCCCTGGTCACCACCCGTCCATGGTGACGACCCAGCCTATCTTGACCACCCCAGCCAGTGTGACACCACCAAAGACAAAAAGGTTTTAGAGCTGGGTTTTAACAGTTTGACTTGGTGGACCCGTTGCTTGTGGGTGACAACACAACTACTCTTTGGAAAACGAAGACTTTTTTTTCTCCACTAAATAAACTACCTGTCATTGTATATCTTGTTGCAATAAATTATCTCCCGGCTAGATATGATAGTATGCATTACCAAGCGTGACACATTAAACAGTATTTTAGGTCATATAAAACATTTATCTCTTTTATTTTTGACAGACGATAAATATAAACAAATAGTGGAGGTTTAGTCTCAGCACATGCTTTTCAAGGGTAATAAACCCGCTCAACTTTTTAAATTATTCTGATTCCGTTTTATTGTTTAACAGTAATTGTGATAATGGTATAATGTTGTTTCATGTCGTTGGAATCAAGGTTTAATATCATTTCAAATAGACCTGGTTGGGATTTCCATGGCACAAATTTATTTCATGCTAGCTAATTCACCAGCTGTCAAAAAAAAAAATGCAACGGGCACTAGGCTTACAATGTTGTTTTTTTTTCTCTCTGAAAATTAACCTTATTTTTACCCCCGAACATTATTTTAAAAAAATAATTGTACCTTACTTTTAATGTTAATTAACCCCAACGAGTTTCACGAGACACCTCCATTCTTATTGTTTACATTGATTTTTTTTTAAAAAAAGAAACGTGTTTCTGTCTATTTTGTTTTTATAGCAGCCCGAAAAAAGCAACATTAAAACAAACAACAAAAGCCTGGGGGAAAAATCAGAAATTTAGTATTTTAATAATCAATCTTTTGAGAACATTTTTTTTCTTTTTTTTTTTTTTAAATTATGTATTTCTTTTTTTTTTTTTTTTTTTTTTTTTTTTTTTTTTTTTTTTTTTTTTTTGCTTTTAAGTTAAAGGCTAAATTTGTTTTTTATCAAGCCAAAACTGTAACCTGAAGTTTCAATTTAGTATGACAAACTTTAATTGGCTGTGTCACTGTGATCATATCTTTGAAAACCCCACTTTGTTGTGATTTGTACTCAAAACTCTGTCTTTAAATTTGTTTAATAAAATTATTCTTTTTAAAACCACATGATCTAGCAATCCATTTACATTTTCATTAAAAAGAATTTTAAAAAGCATTTTCTATTTTGGCTCTTACAAAAAAAGTTTCCTTACTCTAACATCAAATATTCCCTATCTTTGTTTAAGTTCAACTACAACCGACAGTCAAGTTTTTAACCACATAATTTCTCAATTTCTTTTATTAGCAGCGCACTCTTTTTTAAATTTTTCTTCGAGTATTTTCCCACTATAATTGAGTAGGTATATTTTGTCTCTATTATCAAATATTTCATTATCTTTGTGTATCTTATTCGGACTCTTACTTTTATTCTTCTTTTATATTGAGACGTCAGAGCGTTGTCAGACAGAAAGACAAAGAGATAGACGGAATAAGAAAAATATTATAAAGAACATTTGGGGTGGTTTACTGATACTAAATCATTTCACACTCATGGGATAAAGGTATAGTTTCATGCCGCTTGGATCATTGTACAATTTTAGTTTAGACAGTTGGGATCGTGGTAGATTTTTTTATATGGTTAATTCCATGTTATATCATGCTTCTCTAGATACAGCTTTTTATAGTGAAATTAACAGTTGTAATGTACATCTTAATAAAAGTTGCTTTAAATATATCTTTACCGAGAGCAACGTCAATACGGCCCGTGACAAAACGACCCAGTCAAGATAATCCCGACCAAGTTCACTACATATTTTCCTCCGACATATTGTCTCCCGAGAAAAGGTTACTAACTTATTAGCTCCTGCAAAATGACAATTCACTATCTCCACTAACCAAACAAATCAAGTATTAAAGATTGTAGCATCAATGTGGAGGGGGTAGGGTATGATCACAATTGACAGTGTATGATCTATCGACGTCTACAGGCTCAGACAGAGTTAAAGCATAAGGTCATTAGCTAGTCACTACTCGAATTTTACACGACAGCTTTTTTATATGACGGTGAGATGAGAGAAATGTACTGTCTTAGTGGGCAAGTTTAAGCGATGCTAAATCAATTATCATTGTGTGTGTGGGTGTCAACACCAAGACGTCGGGCAATATTCAGTCTGACCAACCAACCAGAGGGTGGAGTATGTGTCACCAAAGGCTATAGGTTGAACTATGTATCAACACAAGACCATGGGATAAAGTATGTGTCACCACCATAGGTTGAAGTATGTGTCAACACCAGACCACAGGAAGAAGTACATGTCACTACAAGACCATGTGAAGAGCTTGGTGTCATCATAAGACCGAGGAAGAAATCTGTGTCACCACCAAAGAATAAATAACGGTAAACCACTGTGTCATAGTCACGGTTAAATCTTATGAACTTAAAATGTAATGCAATTCTAACGTTATTTGGTGAGGAATTAGAAAGCTGGATTCATTAAATGAACGGAATCAGAATCCTATGGCAACTAATCTATAAAACAATCTCGCTAAGCCAGCTGTAGACATCCAATTTCCCAGCACTAGACAATTGTAATATGGTATTTGATTACCCGCGAGCATTTGTCACGGCGCAAACCTCAGCTGTTTGTTATCAATTGGACCAAACCTGTCATAAAACTGAAGTGGGAGTTTACAGCCTTATTCAATCGCTCTACTAATCACAGTGCTGTATGGCTGATGTGTACCAACTTGGGACAGAGGACAGAAAGGTGGGAAAGGCTGTGATAGTTGTCTGATTCACCTTATGGTCAGATCAGTCAGACAATTTCGGTTTTTTTTTTATGTGCCGGTTTTAGTTGAAAATAATAGCTGCAGTGGGGTAAATTGAGTAATAAAAATTATGTTTAAACTAAAAGTTCGTTTGCATAAAAAAAATTAATTTAAAAATAAGACTGAGTATTTAATAAGTTGCATAAAAAAAATTAATTTAAAAATAAGACTGAGTATTTAATAAGTACAGTTTTAACTATGAATAAAATCGTGGGTCGCTTCATAAAAGCGTATTATAAGTAAATGTTTATACTACCAACTGGTAGAAGCATTTTTGCACTTGTGTGTGTGTGTATATATATATATATATATATATATATATATATATATATAGAGAGAGAGAGAGAGAGAGAGAGAGAAAGGGGGAGGGGCTATTACTCCATACCCCATAATGTAACTCTTAATAAGCGCTAAAGAATGTAGGCAAACACAAAAGAAAACGCAAACATAATTCAAATGCAAATACAAACGAAAACACAAACGCAACACGCAAACACAAAAGAAAAAACAAACAACGCAAAAACACAAACAAAAACGCAACACGCTTATCGTAAAAACAACTTACAATAAACTTTATAGTTCTTTACTATATAAAAACCAATGCTCTTTTTTTTTTCAAAATATCAAACACTTAACCAAAAATACCAGCTGTCATCACCTCCTACCAAAAAATATTGTTTATATTAAGCCGACGCTCCCTAAAATAAAATATTCCGGACCAGCGTTCGCCTATGACAAAAGTTAAACACACAAACATCAACTGAATACTCTGACAAAGGAGTTTAGGCATACTACTGACACCTCTACCCCCCCCCCTCCCCCTTTCTTTAAAAAAAAAGAGGTCTTCCAATTTGCTCTTACATAGTGAATTTAATTTTCCGACAGTTTTGTTTTAAGTAAATTAAGTGACTGTTTGAATGTATACATGACAAGCTATTTTATTTACCAAATAAAAACCACCCAACATGAGTTATTCCTCATGAACAAAAACTTCACAATGCCCCTCCCACTTTGTTGACATCGGCTGCCATCGCTTTCTGCTCAAAAACTGTTTACATAAAGTGATACTACCTATAAAATAAATGAAGTGGGAGTGATCTACCCTAAACTTTCTCGAATATACTCTTATAACACTACCGGCAATTCGGGATATAGGCATGATTTTCAATCCATTTTTGATTACTTAAACTTTTTAAAATATAATAGAACCTCGTAGAAAAACGAATTGCACACCAAGGGAACGGCAAACAATATGTGTATAACAGTGTGGAATATTAGAAATTTATAAATACACATCCGTTTTTTTTCCACCTCCGGTTATCGGAAATTGCTTAAAAGTTGATATATAATATAATATTTTAAAATTTCATCAACCTTGCTGTAATGGTACTCAAGTTATCGTGTTCACAGACATACAAAGAGAGAGAGACTTACGGACAATATTGCAAAACTGTGTTTTTCCGACTTAGTGAGGTGTAAAACGACGGAAAATCTCGATTTCGATTTTTTGCACGACTACAATACTTCCACTATACTTCGTATACGAGAAAGTAGAAATGTATCTCTTGCACACTTATTGTGTAATCAACCATTTTCAGAAGAAGAAGAAGAAAACACTGACTCTAAACAAAATGGGCTAGAAAAACATGTTTTACTTAAACACGTGCGTTTATGAATATTCCGTCTAATAGCTAACAAAACAAGGACCCACTAATGATAGGCGAAGCCTATATAAATGCTTAAAGCCTTGACTAACATAATTTTTTTAATATATAGACTTACTGGTCCAGCTATTTGAATCGTTTGAAATCACTACGTTAGTAAGGAATTAACGTGTTTTGAATGTTAGGCCTAGTAATGTAAAGTGACAGGTGAGTTAGTGATGTTTTTATGTACTGACGTAGGCCTAATCTATCTATATACTACTAAAAGTCAAGTTTGTTTACATGTTTGAATATTTATTTTTTTGTTTGTTTGTTTGTTTGTCCGATCGAGTTTTGTGATATGTTCGACTCTATCTGGAGAGCTGTAAAATAGTATGTAGGTAAAGAATAATTTTTTAATGCAGACAGACTGTTAATCACAAATTTATTTAAAGACGTTAATTAATTAATTGATTTATTCATACGTAGAGTAACCCATTTTTTTTAAAATGTTAAAACATTGACTAAACTTTGTGGGAATAGTGACGTCACAGGTTTTTGTTTACTCTTTAGTACAATAAAATGGCGGCGTCTATCGAAGAAAATTGTGTTCCCATTCAAAAGTTTAACGCGTTCTAAATCTAATTTTCTGTCGGTCATAACTTTAACAATACGTCCGTTTGCTGTATTTATTACGTTCCAACACTTATATCAATTTTAAACTGTCTTTTTTCATTTAGTTTTACGATAAATTTCTCTAGATCTAAAGATCAGCTGTCGAAGGAAAGTTATGAATCTAGCCTAGATCTAGATCTAGGTCACTAGACTCAATGTAAATTCTAGATCTAGACTTAATGTAAATTCTACATCTAGAATCTATTTCAGGCCTTAATACATCTAGAATCTATTTCAGGCCTTAATTATTTTATTTAAATCTTTGTTTGGCTAATTTAAGATAAAATTTAATTTGAAAGTTACTAGATTCTACTACTAGACTTAGATCTAGATCTATGCGCGGAGACTCAAAAGTATAGTATAAAAATTCATTTGTGACGTCACGTAAATCATGTTGCATAAGGAGACTCATAGTATAGTATAAAAATTCACGGTTGACGTCACGAGTAAATAGCTAAGTTGGTAGCGTAGCCGGCTCTCATGCGGGTGGCACAGGTTCTAGACCAATATGTCAATCATATTTTTTTTTCAATTTTTTTTTTTAGATGTGAATGATAAAGTTGCCTATCTGAACTTGGCAGGATACAGGGCAGGTGAAGTAGAGTTCATCTGTTTCTTTGTCCTAAGCATATGAAAGGATAGTGTGGTCAGAGACATGCTCGGCTGGAATCGTTTTTTAAACGATAAAAACATGTTGTCTGAGACTTGGCGGGACACTGGGCAGGTGAAGTAGAGTTGAGTAGGTCACATGTGACGTCAGTATAAGAAGGGATAGTCCGAAATCGGTGTTTTCTGTGTTTTTAAAAGATAAGAAACATATTTTTGAATGTGGGGTCTGTTTTTTGTGACGATAAGTGACACTGCAGTAGCGTAGCGAGGAGGGGGGGGGGGGGGGGGCGGGAGGGGAGGCGGGGGAGGTGGAGGGGGGAAGGGGGGCGGGGGGATATATGTTGGGGCGCCAAAATGGTTTGGAAAAATAAATTGAAAGGTTGAGGGGGGTTCAAATCGAAAGTTTGAGTGGGGGGGTGCACATCAAAAGTTTGAGGGGGGGGGGGTTGAAAATCGAAATCTTGGGGGGGGGGTCCCCGGGCGCCGGGAAGGGTCGCTATGCCTCTGAGTGACAGACGTGATGTTTTTTGATGGATGACCCCCGAAACCCACAGTTATCCAGCGGATGACGGGTATTCTAGTAAGAATTAAAACCTAACCTAGACGCCAGGCGGGAGCTTAAGGGATATGACTAGGTTTATCTCAAAAGTGTAGAAAAAGAAGTCAACAGGAGGCCACCAATTTTCTGTAATCAATATTTTGATTGTTGTTTACAATCTAACTGAATGGTGTATGTCCAAACCAGAAGCTTTTGTCCCTTTCTTATAAAACACGATAGGCCTAAGTGAGAAAATGTCAGATCTGCAAATGGACTGATCACACATACAAACATAATACAAAGTTACATATCTCTGCGCCTCTCATTGAATCCAGACAAGCAACACTATAGCCCTAACATGTTTACAACAGTGGGCCTATTTACAAAAGGTATGAAGAGATGTTTTCAAATTTTGTTAGGGCCTATCTGAATCAAATATTCGTATAGTTATGCTTTTTTAAACATAAATTACAACATAATTAAGCGCTATTTTAAACACACCCGACCTTAACATGTTTGTTTATCAGTAAAAGATTAGACAGCAGTGTCGCTAGACTAATCGAGCTTTTGTCAATCAAAGCGCTCTTTTGTTGTGTTAAATATCCTGTAAATCATCAGGATTGTTCCATGTAGGGTGTTTTAAGGTTTTTCTTTCTTTTATCTTCTTTCGACCACACAAGGGCTTCTAATGTCATGTGTTATATAGGCCTAGATCTATTCCTTTCTACGTTCCCTGGTGGATGCGGGGGGTCGCGAGGCCCTCAGACCCGTGAGCTAGAGAGTTAATATATGCCTAGCTCGTGTGTCACGTGGTTCTCTCATTATTTTCTATACCCCTGAAGGTTGGATATCGTTACTGTTGTAGGGTTGACAGAACTACAACGTAGAACAGCTTAGTACATATCGTTACTGTTGTAGAGCTGACAGAACTATAACTTAGAACAGCTTAGTACATATTGTTACTGTTTTAGAGCTGTCAAAACTACAACTTAGAACAGCTAAGTACATATCGTTACTATTGTATGGTTGACAGAACTATAGGCCTAGGGCCTAACGTAGAACAGCTAAGTACATATCGTTACTGTTGTAGAGCGGACAGAACTATAACTTAGAACAGCAAAGTACATATTGTTACTGTTTTAGAGCTGTCAAAACTACAACTTAGAACAGCTAAGTACATATCGTTACTATTGTATGGTTGACAGAACTATAGGCCTAGGGCCTAACGTAGAACAGCTAAGTACATATCGTTACTGTTGTAGAGCGGACAGAACTATAACTTAGAACAGCAAAGTAATTTTATATCGTTACTGTTTCAGAGCTGACAGAACTCATCGAACATTTTATATTGAACTATCATTAAATATTCAAACAGATGCCGATAGTTTGTAAAAAAAATCATTGGTAACACAGAAAAATCGGTGTCATCATATTATTGTATTTTTTAAAGTAAATTAAGACTATCAATGTATAATGCATAGTGAAAAAAGCTTTCCTTTTTAAAAGAAAAGTTGACATAAGTAAAGCTTACGGCAGTTATATTTCTTAAAGAAGCGTCTCTCAAAGAAACATGTTAGTTTTAATACTCACAATTGTGGTGGTTATGACCAAGTCACAATTGTAATAGTTCTAACCTACTCACCTTTTCGCTGGTTCAAATCTCTACTCACGCTAACGTCCCGCCCGTGGCACGCGCTGATACATCCCTTTAGTCATGCGCCGAATGTGCATTGTTTGGTAGCTTATAATAGCATACAGGATCATATCGCGCCTGGAGGCTGGGGCAAACGCCGTCTTTTTAGAATCGATCACGGTGTCGCGCGTGGTTATCGTGGTGTCTATTTTTACTGTCAGTTCAAACTTTGGGGAAGATTATTGAAAGATAATGCCGGTGGAATTATGTACGATATCCTTTTTAAAAGACTCTTCAGTAGGGTTTTTATTTACTAGGAACTTTATTGTTCATTAAATGATGTGTCTAATGTAAAACTGCATAATCGGCAAAACTTCTGAATCATATAAAAAATGTGTCCGGCGCCGCTAGTGTAATAGGCAAACAGGTATTGACAAATTACACAGACATGTCAGGTATTGACAAATTACACAGACATGTCAGGTATTGACAAATTACACAGTCAGGTCAGGTAGTGACATATTACACATTCATGTCAGGTAGTGACAGATTACACAGTCAGGTCAGGTATTGACATATTACACAGTCAGGTCAGGTAGTGACATATTACACAGTCAGGTCAGGTAGTGACAGATTACACAGCCAGTTAGGTCAGGTAGTGATAGATTACACAGTCAGTTAGGTCAGGTAGTGACTAATTACACAGCCAGTTAGGTCAGGCAGTGACACATATTAAATGACAATTACTTTTATAATTAACCATTGCATTTAGATCTACCTAGCAATCCAATCAAATTTAAACTTATTTTATTTCCAGCATCTGACAAGTTGGCTAAAGGCAGTCACAAAGTGTGTGCATTCTATAACCGGCCAAAAGGATGTTTAAGAAACGATCGTTGTCCAAATCTGCACATTAAAATTGATGCTGATGGTAAATCTCTTTCATTCTATTTTGTTGTACTTAATTTGTTGCTAAAGATGTTTCACCTTTAAAGTCTTACACCTATCTACAGGCTTGAGCCATGATAGAGTTCCAGTGTTAAAGTACGATGAAGACCAGTCTGAAATCCTGCCATCCCCTGGTGCTTACATCACAGTTAACGTCACTAGTGTGCAATCTCCGAGCCAGTTCTATGTCAACTTGCCTTTTGGTAGCCAAAGTATGAGCCAGTGTATGATGGATCCCACAGTCACTAATGCTCACAGGAAAGGGGAGACACTGGAAGATCTTATGGCTAGTATGAGGTCATTTGATTTTTTTGTTTTAAATGCAAAGATTATTTATGTTTCTTTAGATTTTTGTGTAAGAAATATTCCAGATTATTTTTTTACAATGACTCACATGAAGTTGTGTTTTTCAAACTAATAATTTAGATTTTAGGATAAGAATTTTTTTTTATAATTATTATTATTTGAGGGAAGAAAAAAAAATATTACTTTTTGGTGTCAAATAGCATTAGTTTAAAAATTATTACTAATGAACTAACTATTAATGCTAGTTTATTTATTTATTATTTACAATGCTACTATACATAATTGTCCAAAAAATGTTGTTTAATCTTTCTGTCAGTGACTTCTACAAATCAAGTGTTCATTATGATGGGGACCTTACATTGTTAGCGTCAGGCCAGGCTTTGGCTGCCAGCATTAAAGGTGTTTGGACTAGAGTTAAAGTCCTTGACTCTGATGTGGAACAGGGATTAGTAAAGGTACTAAAATAGCATAGGTATTGTTTTATGTATGGTTTAGCAAGTTGTTTTAACACATTTTGATATGTTTCCTTAGACTTCTATATGTCAAGTTGTTTGTAGATATAAATATGCAGTTAACTACTGGTGAAAAGACTTTGTTAGTCTAAAAATGTATGTCTGACAGCTCAGCTCTGATCTAATCAACTTGATTCTACTTATAAACAATAACATTATTGTGCTAAATCATTGTGAAGTCAATACTGTAATGATTGGGAGAGAAAAAAAGTATATCTTTTTGTCTATTTTATTATCTTAACATGGAAATAAAAAATATATCAGCTAAGGTAAAATACACATATGCAACTTCATTAAAACTTATATTTCTTATGTTGTATTTATTAGTTACTGAGTTAAAATGTGACCATAAAATACCAATATTAAAAAAATGAATGAATGTGTTTAAGAAAGTCCACTAAAATAATGCAGGTGATGGCGGTGGATTATGGTAATGTGGAGTGGGTGGAAGAGACAGACATCAGAGAGCTGGACCTGAGATTCATCCACCTGACACCACAGGCAGTAGAATGTGGTCTTGCTGATGCTGAACCTTTTAGTGGGGCCCTAGAGTGGACAGAGGAGGCTTGGTGAGTTCTCTCATTATACAAAACAATGGCATAAAACACAACAGCTAGAAAATAGATGTAGTTGCACAATCAAAATTGTTTTTTTTTTTTTGTTAATAACAATAGTGCTTGTGTTTTTTATTAGTTCACTAATTTGAAAATCTATGCTACAAAACTTGTATTTTAAAATTCTACAGTGAGATATTTCAAGAACTAGTGATGGGGAAAAGCATGGTAGCTATTGTCAAAGACAGGTATATGTGTGTTTTTTTTTTCTGGTACCTCACACAGACAACCACATAGGAGAGTAACTGTTTTTAATGTTTTATATTCTCTGTGTACCCAGAATCAATTTGGGATGTAACTAACTACTCAAAAATTAAAATAGGATGCAGGGTTTAAAGCTATGTTTACTCAAATAATTCAAGAAATTTCAAGGAACTGTTGCTGTAATAACAGTTTTATTTTGAATTACCAGAAAAATTTTCTTCCTGTTTAAACATTGTGTTTAAAATGTCTACATTAAATTCTAACCATAACAGTTATTAAAATAATAAGACATGATACATTTCTGATAATAGGTTTCTGTCAGGAAGGATAACTGTGACTTTGTTTGATCCCAACACTGAGGAAGAGATCAGCATTGGGCAGGCTCTCATCGAGTTTGGCCTTGCCAGCTCCATCAGTGTGAATCCTAGAGAAACAGATCAACACAGTGATAAACATAAGAAAAAAGACATGCTCTTTTTTATGCCTGTGTAAACTAATGAATGTATTCAGTTTAAGGTTTTAATTATGGATTTATTTTTCTAATAAAGCATTACATCATATATTGTATGAAAACTACCTCCTTTACAATCCATAATATGAATATATTTTTATACCAGTATTTTAAAAAATAGCTTATTTTTTTAGCGGAAATAGGATATAAGCTTTTTGTACATGAGCTATCTAGCTCAGTAATAGATTATTTGTATCATAACTTTAAATATGTTGATGAAGTAACTTTTTGATTTTTGTTTTGTTCCAGTAATTCTGTGTTAAAAAATTGCATTTAATTATATATTTTCTGTTAGTTTTTAAAGCCATGTTTATGTTTTGTTAGCAACTACCTTGCATGTGTTGCATTTCATTCAAGCATTATCTGTGTTTCCTCTGAACGGAATTAATGAATTTTGTTTCAGTTCAATAAAAGATATAAAACATTTATGACTAATGTTATGATGTGCATGGTGATGTGAAATTTAGGTTTGAATGAATGCTTGTATTAGACTTTGATTGTTTGAATGATTAGAGCTCAGCAAGTTATGGCAGTATTACTAGTATTAGTGTAACATCTGATTGTTTGAATGATTAGAGAAGTTATGCCAGTATTAGGGTACCATCTGACTGAATGATTAGAGATTTACAAGTAATGCCAAAATTAAAGCACCCAGAAACAGATGAACATGTAGCATGCTCTCATTCATGAAATGTTTTACACATCAACATAGTCTACACTGAAATAATGTTTGTATCAATAACACAAAAAAGACATCAAATTTCAAGATAAATCATTTTAATCTTTATAATTGCCTTCACAGCCACAAAATAAATATAATTTCTAAAACTAATGTAAGTTGTATAGGAAGTTAATTACTGAATAGATTATCATTTCAGCAGACATACATTAATAAACTTTACATTGCATTTTTTTTACAATTTTTAAATGATTTATCATTAAATGATACATAGCATACTAAAATTCCGGACTTCTTAGATTACAAATCATCAAGATAATTTTTTAGTAAAAGGAAGGGATTTGTAAAGAAAAAATCACTACTACTCAAAACTAAGTTTAAGACATAACTTTTTACAATGAATATTTTTAAAAAACCAATGTTTACACAAATTCCAGATATTAACAAAATAGTTAATAAACCAATAGATGAAAATTTTAGCCACAAAGCATTGACTAGGCTGTATATTACATAAGTTTTAAGTGAGTGCAAAATACAAGCTACACTTTATAAAAAGGCACATAAATTATTAAATTATTGCTTCTCTTTTGAATTGATTTAAAACTGTTTAACCATTAAAAAAATTATTTAAAAATAGTTATAAAAATGTGGGAGAATAAGTTACAGGTAACTGAGGTAGGACACCTGTGGTTTATCAAAGAAACTGATATCTTCTTAGCTAGACTTTGACATGATCCATAGAGCCTAATGCCTATGCCACAAAGGAATTTAGCTTAAAGATTAGAAGCTTTTAAAATTATACTTAACAGTAAGTAAGAGTAATTTTATTTTAAAGAATTTAGACAACTTAAAATAATATGTTGAGCTAAATCAATGAAAAAAATTCTGAACTTATTTTTACACAAGTGGGAAAATTATATTCTGTAACACAGTAAAATAATAAAACAGACAACTATTTAAAAAAATGAATGAACATATTACAGTTAATATAATTTTAAAAATATTACTTTTCTAAATAAAATTATTTCTTGAGATTTATAAGAACCATAAAAATTTAATGTTCTGAAAAAGCACTGTAAAAAAAGGATAAAAAGATAATTTTAAAAACTAGTTTTATTTGTATTAGTACAATATGTATATACAAGATTATAGGAAATCAAAGTATGGATCAAATTATACTACCTAGTCTGTATAATCAATACCAAAGCTAAAAATTTATATTTATTAGTTTTTATGATGCTGTGATTTTGATCAATGAATTTAAGTGGTTTTTACAGTATTTTTTTAGAATGGATATGACACATTTACTATTTTAAAAAAAATATGTTTAGAAAATACAATAACTCATTAATTTTGATTTTCATATATAATTATATTACCTACAAAACAAAAAAATAAATAACATTTTGTGTATAAACTAAACAGAAAAGTAACCTTGTGAAGCTTAATAGCTTTACTCACAACCAAGAATTACATTTGCATAAATTTGTAATGGAATTTTATATTAAAATATGCATTATAAAAGGCCACAATCAAATAGCTGGAATGTTTTAATTTGATAGTTAAAAATGCCAAATCCGTATTTCAAAAATTTCAGATCTGCTTGTATTTTTTAAATTTTGCATGAAGTAAACAGAGGCTTGTAAAAGCCATTCTCTCACAACCAAAAATTATACTTGCATAATCTTGTATTAGAGTCTTTGTAATTTAAAGGCCATAAACAGCTGGAATGCTTTATTTTTGACAGATAAAAATGCAAAAAATATTTTTTTAAATTTTCAGATCCACACTGTTGTATACAATGATATGTATAACTGATATAGTCACCACAGATATTGTATGTACAAGATATGAAGCAATATAAAAACATTGTTTGAATATTACTGTGCTTGCTTAAGCAAGATTAAGGAGACAAATTACTTTTTAAAATTTTAAAAAGTGTGTTGAAAGGTATTTTTCATTCATAAAAGAATCTCAATCTACACTGCAAATGAATTAAAAACAAATGACATCCCTATGGTAAACAAAGTTAAATTGTTATTAAAAATAAACCCAAACTTGCAACTACCAGGTATTGTAGAATATACCTCTTGATTAAATGTCTGCCTTAACATGGAATGTGTATTAATGCTGTAGCTTCAAAGGTAAAAACAAATAATATGACCAAGTTAGTATTATTACAGGAAGACTTATCAAATGGATAAATTAACTGCAGTTTTATTACACCCTATTCAATTCCAATGAAGTTGTGTATTTATTTTTATTTTCAATGTTATAAACCAGTTTCAGGCCTCTGGAAAAAAATAATTAAATAAATATTTTATATAGAAAATATTTACTTTAAACAGTGTCAACCATCTCCCCCCCCCCCCCATAACCCCCCCCCCCCCCCCCCCATTTAATATTAACATATTCTTTTTAATTATCAATGTTATAACCAGTTTCAGGCCTCTGGAAAAAATAATAAACTAAATACTTTATATAGAAAATATTTACTTTAAGCAGTGTCAACCACCTCCCCCCCCCACACCATTTAACATAAACATACATATATATTAGCCTTACTGACTAGTAGGCATCCAGGCCAGATCTGCCTGAGAGCTAACAGAAATATAGAAATGCTGACTTCAACTTCCAGAAAGAATTTCCCATTGAGTCTGTGCACAGATACTCCCCATAAAATGCATGTGATACCTCAGGGGCTCCACTAGCCCTCACAGATTAAACTCACTCCCTCAAACCACACTGGTGAGCCCAGGCTTCTTTCTAATGACCCAACAGATTGCCTTAATACACACACACACATATATATATATATATATATATATATATATATATATATATATATATATATATATATATATATATATATATATATATATATATATATATATATATACCCCTTAAGGTTTTGAGCGAGCTTTTTTGAAGTAGTGGGCCAAGTTTGTGTACATTAATATTATAGGGATGTAGCAGCTGTTCTTGAGCATTGCCTCTTGTGAATAATTTAAATCACCTAAAATATCATCAACTTTCTAGATTATGAAAAAACAATAGCAGAAATATACAAGATCACAACCTAATAGACTAGATAAACTTATACATATTTTTAAAAAAATATTCTTAGCCTTTACCAATTCAAATTACACAATTCACAATTAAAATTGAGAATTTTGTTTATAATTATTTGACATTAAAAGTAATTCATAAGGAGTCTTATTATATCAACCAACTGGTGAAGTTGCTACATTATGCTCAGGTTTATTAAAGACCACAAAATAAAGAACAAATGCAATGACATACGTGGCAACCCCTATAAAAATACCAATGATCACAAACAGTAAAGCTTTCTTTGCTTGTCTTTTGGCAAGGTCTATGTCACCTAATTGCCAGGCAAAATTTGACTTGACTGAAACAAACATTGAAAAATTAAAAAGTTGAATCAGATAAGAATCAGGTAATATAAATTTTGTTAAAACAATATCAATGCATAATTTTTTTTCTAATCTACTTACGAACTGTAAAAGTTTATTCTTATGTTTGTGTTGTTGTTTTTTAGGGCTGCACAATTATGTTTTTTAGCATCTACAGCATTTGATTTCCAAATGATGTGATTTTCTCCCATATCTTATTAATAAGTACATTTAAATAAATATTTTTTAAATTGAATTATTTAGTGAAGGTGTACTGCAGGCAAACAATGACTATAATTGGTAGAAGGGGTCGGCGTGGTCGAGTCGGTAAAGCTCATGGTTTCTAAACCGAAAAGTCTCAAGTTCGAACCCTCAGGCAGATGAGGCTTGTTAGCTGGGGACAGCCAATCTTCCGGAAGAGACAACTCCAAAATTAAACAACTGCTGCCTTGTAGTTTGTTCTTGGTTGGACAAAGGCTATGGAAGCAAATCCAAAAAGAAAAGCAGGCTGAAATCGGAGTCAATGGCCTCAATGGCGCTTAACTAGTTGACATGTATCCTTAATTGTGATGGAGGCGTGGTCGAGTCGGCTAAAGCTAATGGTGATAAATTCAAAAAAGTCTCGAGTTCAAACCCTCTGGCAGATATGGTTCGATCACCTCCAACACTAAAAATTAAGAAGGAAGAAGAAGAAGGTAGAGAGGTGTTTTTTTTTTTTAAATTAAAGATTAAGTTCTTGCATTCCCTTTGAAGATCCAAGTGTTACCCAAGTAAAGAAAAGTTCCCCTTTCAGAATTAATGAGCCATAGAATAGATAAATCAGAGTTGTTTTTTTGTTTCTTGACATTGGCATATGAATGGATGGTGTGGTCAGCACTATGCATTGCTGCCTTTACATTCCCCAATGTGCATCAGGTACCCTTGAGAGCTGAGTGGACTCAAGGATGTCCTGCAGACCAATATCCAAACTAGAAACTTTTGGGTTAGTAGTAAAGTGCTCTACTACACAATCATATTGTCCAGATTGTTACCTAAGGCATTTGTAACTATTTAAATCAAAGTGTAACACAATAACTTTGGTGTCAAAATCATAAAAGTACTTACAAATTCATAACTGGTTTGTCTAGTTTAATTAGAGTTTCGTTTTATTTTCTTAAACTTTAAAATTATGTTTAGGATGTTAAAGTAAGTAGATTGAAACCATTGTTTTAAGATATAAACATAAAAAAATAGCAAAGTACCTCCAAAATGATATCCAAGTAGACCAAAGATAAAATTACAAAGAAATATAACAATGCATGATGTTATGACAAAATCCTTGGGTTTCAGGCTGGGGTCAGGTTTCTGTGCAACAACTGGTGTAGGTGACTGAGTGAATATTGCCATGGCTGTTTGTCCATCATAATGAACTTGATTACGATTTGTGGACGGCTGCTTTGTGATAGGAGTGTTGCCTTTTGTACCATGTTTGGTCAAATTGATGTGAACTTCTTGATGGTCAATGGTGGCTGGCACTGACATGTTCTTCTGATCTTGAAACAAAACAAAAAAAAAAAAATTCATGTTTTTTGAGTAAGATGTAGCATGTTGAGAGTTCAGCAAAATGAACATTTCTCATTATTTGCTGTTTAGACTCAACTTTACAGGCAAACAAAATGTAATGTTTTATATTATTAATTTTAAAGAAACTAAGTCTATTACTTTTTTATTTTCTTCTGTGTAATGGGAATCAATCAACACAACTATCTCAGTACAAAATAATATGAAGCTATGACATTGAGTAGCCTACTGCTCAAATACATTACATACATTAGCTTATAGGCCTATGACTGCCCTATGACAAATAAATCTTTTGATTCATAATGTTGCAGCACAGTAATGCTTTGTAGAAATCACACTCAGAGCTGGCGTTTGGGGGTGGCATACTGGGCGGTCGCCCAGGCCCCGCATTTGAAAGGGCCCAACGCTTCAGCACCGACATTGTTGTCTGAATTAGTTTGTAAACTTAAATAATCGTTGCTAAATTCAATTGGATAAAAATAAATGGTTGAATGCTGACATTGTTGATTGTTATAACTGAGGCCATGGTTGATGTTAGTGAGTTATCACCCACCTGAACTGGGACAGGCTGTAATTCAAAAGGAAGACATTAGTGTTAGACCTCGCTCTGTGCAGGGTACGGTCACCTGGCATTTGGCCTCAGGTGACTGAAGATGAATGGATGCGAATCACCCCCCACCCCGACCTGGGATGTAAATTTGGAAAACATGTAATGAGATACCCTATTGTATTCTGACCGATGAAGATGGTTTTTTTTTAGTGAGCAGGCACGGTTGCCTGTAATAGACAGTTAGTGACCTTATGAACGCTAGTCTTGACTTTTCTGTTTTGGTATAACAAAATTAACACTTAGTGTAGTGCAGAGGGGGTCCAAATTCTGAGGCATCCTACAGAGTGATTTGCTAATATTTTTTTTTGGAAGAAAGTTAAAAGTTTTGTTACATTGTGACATTTATCCATTCCCAGACAAAATTATTAATTTACCAAATTCATCCAAATTGTTATATACAATTCTCTTCCAAGGTGCTGACATGATATAGTCATTGTATTTTCCACGGCAGGCAACTTTTATGGAGGAAGGGCATCCTAAAGGACAGTGATTTGGAAGCTATTGGTATTCCCCTAATAAACTCGGGTTTCAGTTAAATAGTGTATCTTTTGGTAGGAGCATCTTTTACAGAAGTTATGCCCATAATCATTTTATACACTATATGGGCATCCAAAAAGTATAGCACAGTGCCAATATTCATTATAAGACATTTCGTGGGCACCCATAGAGTTTTTAACATATAATCATAATTTATACACTGTAGAAAAAAAAACAAAAAAAAACATGCATTTGGAGGAGCATGGTTGAAAAATGAAGATTGATTTGATGTGTGATCTCATTTAATTCAATGGGTCAGCTCAGAATATCAACCAAGTTTTTTTTTTATTTAAAAAGTAAAATAAAGATATTCAGACCATAAATGATCATTAAAGGGCATTAAACTTTATCATCCTAAACTAAAAACTAAAAGGCATAATGATTCATAATCTAGTCATATTATAATTATTTGGTAATCTATCGTTTTAGGTACCTAAAATCACCTGCGACTAGTAATGTGAAAACCAGGTGACTCCTTAAATTTTAATAATTATTTCACATTTTGAGGAGGATTTATGTTTTAAAAATACAAAAATGTTTCCTTGTTTCATTTATGTACCTGTTTTTAAACAATTGAATTAAAACTTTTCAGTAATAAATGAAGACTAGTGATGTTTCCAACAGAAGCAACCATGCTCATTTACTATAGCAGCCATCTTATTTTTTTTATAGTAAACTTATAGCGCAAGATTCAGGGGAAGCCACTCTAACTAACTTACAGATGGCCGCTTTTTATATTGTAGGGCCCTATAGCTACCAAATCCTGTTCGCAAACACTGCTGTTTAAAGTTAATTTCTTGCCTATAACATTGATATATTAGCCTAAATAATAAATATTTAGCCATTGATTTAGATTTATTATTCACTTATGTACATTTATCTAGACTATAATATTAATATTATTAATATTTGACACAAATATATCACAACAGATCTATATTTAATTATTTCTATACTTCAATTAAAGCCTTGACAATGAGGTAACTTTTTCGTACATTACTAACAGCGGGCGATTTTACGTACTTAAAACGACAGATTACAAATTATTTACTCTGGATTATTTTTTTAACTTCACCAATAGAACGGCCTACTACTATCCGGACTAGGTAATCTATCGTTTTAGGTACGTAAAATCGCCCGCGACTAGTAATGTGAAAAACAGGTGACACCTTACATTTTAATAATTATTTCACATTTTGAGGAGGATTTATGTTTTGAAAAATACAAAAATGTTTCCTTGTTTCATTTATGTACCTGTTTTTAAACAATTGAATTAAAACTTTTCAGTAATAAATGAACACCAGCGATGTTTCCAACAGATGCAACCATGCTCATTTACTATAGCAGCCATCTTGTTAAAGTTTTATTTTTATAGACTTATAGCGCGAGATTCAGGCGGAAGTCACTCTATTTTACAAATGGCTGCTGTTTATATAGCAAATCATGCTTGCAGACACTGCTGTTTAAAGTTAATTTCTGGCCTATATTGATATATTTAGCTATTGATTTAGGTTTATTATTCATTTATCTATAATATTTGACACAAATATATCAAAATATACGTCTATTAAAGCCTTGACAATGAGGTAACTTTTTCGTACATTACTAGCCGCGGGCGATTTTACGTACCCAAAACGATAGATTACCCCGGACTATACGAAATAGATCTAGATCTAGATCTAGACTAGAAGCAATATGATAATGATCTAGATCTAGAATAGTTCTAGATCTAGATAGACAAGACTATAGATCTATATTAATTTATAATTATAATGGCCTACCCAGTTAGTAGATGTAGTTTACGATCATTTAATCATTGACTTTTACTTTACACATTTCCTGGAGTTATTTTTAGAAATTAACAATATAGATAGGCTATTGACTATTGGACAAATGTTGCCTCAAATTTAGCTAGATTCGCTAGATCTAGATTCTAGACTCTAGATCTAGATCTCTAGGCACTCATGTCATGATACATATTAATTTATGTCCATATGGGAGGGAGGGCATATTTTAAGCAGTGTTTCTTTCAAATATTTTCCCCCGGATGGGGGGGGGGGGGGGGTGCACCCTGTTTTGGCCCAGAGGGAGGAAACGATGGCGATGCCTTCCCCCTCCTCCAGTGTTTCTTTCAGACTGTTTTCTCCGGGGAGGGGGGGGGGGGGGCACTTGATATTTTCGAGGGGGGGGGGTCGAACATGATTAAGTATATATTTTCTATAAAAATTCCATTCCGTCCGACCCCCCCCCCCCCCCCCGAAGAGATGCCTCCCAATTTAAAGATGCCTGAAAGAAACACAAACTGATGGTAATTGCGCAAGAAATCTTAATTTAGATTTTACAAATCTGAGCGTTTTACACATTCCTCACTCAAAAAAAAAAAGGATTGCAATATTGTAGGCTTATGTAGATCTATGTACGTAATGTAGGATATGTATGTACTATGTAGCCTGTGTGTGTTGAGTTGACAACTGAGTACCGTTTCAGCTAGGTGACCGATATTTCAGTTAGATTCTATATTAAAATAAGATCCGATAGATCTACCTAGAAATTATATCCATGTTACTTTTTTGTTAGGCATTATTTATGATGTTTGTTGAGCGATTTCCCGTAACTGGGAGTGGTAAACCTACTCTGTCCGTTTTTTGTTGCTGTTTGTTGTCACAGACTCCCCCCCCCCCCCCCCCCCCCCCCCCCCCCCATTTTTTTCTAATTCTAACATAAATGGAATCAACATGTTTTGAATTAAAGTAAATGAAAAGGCGGAAAAAAATTACTCTTCACTAATCAGTAATCACAAGCCTATTACTATTAGCAGTGATGGCTTCGCGGATTTTAAATGACAATCTTTAAAATTGAAGTAAAGTATTTTAGTGTTGCTATGACGTCATATCCAAGCTTGCAAAATGGCGGAAAACAGTTTCCACGAAGCTGCAGGGACCGACAATATTCTACTTGTCACTGACTCATACAAAGTAATAATTGTTTATGATGAAATATACATATTTGAAAAATTATTGTTTTAAATATATTTTAACAGCGCTCGCGGCTTTCAAATTAATAGTTTACAATCGATAGTTGTGTCTATTGTAATTGTCACAGTAATTGTACCAGTTTCCTAGAAAATGTAAACCAAAACTAACACTACTACTAAGCAGGTTAGTTTATAATTTATTTTTAAAACTGAAAATTATTTACACAAAAGTTTTAACTTTTAACACACAAAAAAAAATATTTTCTAGCCTACTAAATAATATGCCTAAATAATCTAAATTAGTAATATTATAGTAGGCCTATAGTATAGCCTAAGGCCTAAACAATCTCATGTCATATTTATTTAACAAGATTTTTTTAATAAATTTTAATTTATGACTATGATCATCCAGATCATTACTATGTCTACTTTGGTAATGAATAAATTAAAGTGCTAAATTCATAAATTATTTATTAGCCTGTCTAACTAAAAATTTCAAATAAAATTATTTTATTATTTAGGCCTAACATATTCAGTTGCAAAGGGAAAGTATAACTATATTAGATTTTCTCACTAAATATAAAATTTACTCAATTTACAATTTAAACACTATCACTGAATAATAGACATCCATATTTAATCCATTAGGCACTACTTTTGAGGTTTTTAGGTTCGTTTTAAACTAAATTACTTCATTTAAAATTTATTGTCACTCACAGCTATAATATGACACATCCCTCCATAACAACCACCCTTGTGTCTGAAGCTACAACTGGCTATGCACAAGAGTTCCTCACTAGTTATCACCAAATAGTGGTCACGTTGTTTTTTTTGTACTATGGAGATTTATATTTAAAAAGTTCTAGTATTTTTAATGAAACCAACTTTTAAATTTAGCCTTCATTCTCCAACGCAAATTTTGAAATGCTTTTCTGGCATATATAGCCCTGCCACCTATAGTTTGTTGTTATAATGTGAAAACCCTGCCATTTTGCTCATGGTAAACATTTTTAAAAGTAATTCGTAGAAGGTCATTGGAATTTGGCAGAAAAATTGTCGGATGTCATGCATCTGGACGCCATATTGTTGTTAGCAACCGACCACATCTCCAAGTTAGCGAGTAATACTAAACTATATGAAGTATATGCCTAACCAATATAAATTATTAGTTTCCAAAACACCAAATTTAAGGCTTAAACTGATTTAAAAGCAGAAGATCATTTAAAAAAACTCATTTATGGCAGAAACAAATCCAGTAAATCTGGAACCCCACAAAATGTAAGTAAAAAGTTACCCTTTAGAATATGGTTGTTCATGTGGCAGATGAAGTAGAGTTCATTTGTTTTTGTGACTCTGCATTTCAAGGTATAGTGTAGTTGATATTCATTATACCCAGCCAACTTAACTTTCCCTTATGCAAGTCAGGTACCCATCAGAACTGGGTGGGTAGGGACTTTCTATGGTCTACGGTCTGGGGCCCGACCTCAAGACATTTGGATACGCAGTTGCATGCGCTACCATATAACCATGCGATCCCACCTGAATGTTTATCATTTTGCCTATGATCATCATAGGGTAATCTATCATCATGATACTGGTCACTAAAATAGTTTGTTTGCTGAACATAGCCTATAAGAGTATATAATGTAAAAAATGTCTTACTTTAACTTTCACTTTCAAAAAATTACCTATTATGGCTTTAACCCTCCATTCTGCACTTAGTTTGAAAAAGTGTTTGTTTTTGGTAGGTAAACCATCAGTTTTCTATCATATGTTAAACTATAATCCTGACCCCAGCAACAATACTGGCTGAAGAAACCTCATACGTAATTATTCCGTCTTTTTTATGTGTAGGCTAATTGTTTTTTTTTTTTTTTTTTTAATTTTTAAGTATTTTGCATTTGTGTTGTTGTTATTATTGGTGTTATAATTAGAGCTAGAGATAGCTTTTGATTAGGTGTTGGTATCTGTGGTGCTGATTCCAAATAACAAATTATGTGGTGTCAGGAGGGTATTTTCTCTATGTCAAATGTTCTAATTTATTTTAAGAACAAATGCTGTTATATCAATTGTAGACTGTTGCATTACTGCTATGCCAGTTATAGACTTGCATTAATGTTCTATCAGTTGTAGACAATAGCATTAATGCTATATCTAACATCTACTGAAGCATCTATATATATTATTCTCTTCATGGGGACCATGCAAGACACCAAGACATAAGCTCAACAGACCATATCATTACCATCCCCACCCCCACCAGTCTAGTGAGCTGTTTACTATCGGGTTGAATTAGTGACGGCTATTAGGGGCACATAATTTTGTTTTTAAATGATTTTAAACTAAGGGGAGGTAATAACACATTCTGCTGTCGTCATGGATGACTGCTTTCACTGGGGAGGTGGGAGAGGAGTGGAAAGTAAGGGTGAGGATAATCGTCTTTCACAAGCTACTGATAGTGTTTTAAAGCAAAATATTTTCAGTCACAGAATTGGTAGTGTCGACTTCACAAAATATGAAAAATCGGAAATAAAACAACTTAATGGCGGTGTATGCTATGTCGCGGGTTAGCTTGTTAATGATATTTCTGCTTAAGCACAGTTAACTTTATGCAGGAATGTAATAGCATTTTCATGAATAAAACAACATCAGACTTCACTTTTTTGTAAACAATTTACAAATAATTTGTTTGCCAGTTTTGAACTGGTCTTTATTGCACACAGGAATTGTGCTGGCTGCTTTTAAGCTATTGAATAAAGTACCAGACTTCCATTTTAAAATGAGTTAGGCTTCAACCCATTGAACACTTTGCTCCTGAACCTAAAATCCTGAGTTAACTGAATACAAAACAGACTCTTAATTAAAAAAAAGATAAGAACAAGATTAATTTTAATATTTTAATAAACATTTGTACATGAATTATCACCAATATTTCGAATTAGTGCTCCAGTCCTCTGTGTACGTAGACCTTTCTTTTAGACTTAGGTAGATGTAGACATAGTTAGAATGCCGGTTTTTCGAATCTTAAAATCATGTTTTCATTATAAATTGTAAATGATAAACATAAGAAAAATGTGGTTCATGTGTATAAATATGACAGGAACTTACTGCAAGTCGAACAATACCAGTTACCTACTTTTAGCTGTCACAATTTTATGTACGGACTGTCGATCTGAGGTAAGGTGTCTTATACTGCTTTATCAGTATCTCTGGGCATGGAGATTTAAGACACTGACCGATGAAGCAGTACTGCTGGTTCAAAGGGTTACATTAAGTTATTGTCAGTTGTGTTTTGACTTGTGTATTATGTTTGAACTCACTTCCTGTCTGTTCCCTCTAAACTATTCCAACATCTGTTTTGTTAATGTTTGCATAGGAAACTGATCTTTAGTTTGTTCAAATACACCATCAATTAATTCTCCTTCCCCCCCCCTCCCCAATGTTATCTTATAGTTCTAAAAGGAATTAAAGGAAACTAACCATTTTACTTATAATCTGTTTTACACCTATGACTCCTTCATCTAATTCTCTCCAGGTCTATTACATGTACCTACCTGTGTATGATATGCTTCACTTGTGTAAAGATTCTCTTTATTAAAATCATTCTATTAATACTTTTGATGAAATTCGTGTCACTACAGGTTTTGGGCTGACCTATCATGTGTAATTATTTTGTTGTTTGTAGTATAGCTTGTAGGGTATTTTCATTAGGAAAACAAAGCTTTCCTTTCTTTCCTCACCCTGGGCTGTTGGATGACCTTAACTGTAGTGTTTCCATTACTTGAGTTACTTTATGGCATCCAATATATCACCCAATCCATTCCCTTTCAAAGCAGCTCGATGCAAATTGACATAATTAAAAGGTGACTTTTGCCTCATTTGTTTTTTTATTGATTTCTATGAAGGCATGCTAAAAATAATCCATGAATCAATAGTATTGATCAGTTGGTTAAAAACTTTGAACCAGCTTGCAGGGTGGGAGAGAATGTTTGTGATTTGTCATAGCCCATATCTTTTTGTCAGTCTCTCACTCTCTCGCTACCTGTGGTTAAAAGCAGTATTTTTATTAAATGTTTTCACTAATTTATCCCTAACTTCTTATACCAGGCATTTAATTTTTACTTACACATTTCAACTATAAAAAGTAACAGCATATTTATATTCTTTACAGATTTTTCTTAGTTTATTCATTCCATTAGAGACTAAAAGAAACTAGTAAGATTTCTATATCCCCTAATACTAAACATGACCATATTTGTTGCAGGTGACCCATCATTTACAATATCCACCAAACACCAGCACTGTGTATTCATATTTTGAGAGCAGGGGAGGAAAGTTCCCAACCACAGTATTTTTTGGCCTGCAATACATTCTGAAAAGATGGCTGACTGGGCCGGTGGTCACAAAAGAGAAAATCAAAGAGGCCAAACAGATTTATGCTGCTCATTTTGGGCAGGATGTGTTCAATGAAGAAGGATGGAATTATATATTAGAGGTTGTATATTTATTCAATTTATTCAATAAGGCCTTTTTTTCACATTTATCTAGTTCTCTTAGTACTAATCCTAAGCATTTTATTTATTTTATTAATGAACAGCAATCTTATAACTGGTGATAAGCTCAGTTAATGAGTTATTTACCTAAACATGTTAAGCCTATTATTGTAGTATTTAGATTATAGTTGTTTTTTTAAACTATTACTTTTCGGTAATTTTTTTTTTAGTTTGTAAGACTCATCTTACTTGGCATTGCAAATTCTTAATTATTAAAAGTCCAATTTCAAACACTGATAACTGTTGTGACCTGGACAGTACCACTAACAAATGACAGACCAGGCTGGAATGACAGGTAACGACTCAATAGCTGATGACTGAGTGAGACATAACCACAGGTTGGTGTGACCCAGACAGATGCCACAGGTATTAAATTTCTGACCCAAATAGACTGAAGCATGTCCAATAAAGTCTTGGATGTAAGAATTGTTTTAAAATTGATTAAGGTTTTAATTGTGCAAATTGTGTTAACAGCACCACATGGGTTACATCCCCTTAAGAATAAAAGCAGTACCAGAAGGCCTGGTGGTGCCCACTAGAAATGTTTTGTTTACTGTGGAAAATACAGACCCCAAGTGTTTCTGGCTTACAAATTATTTTGAGGTTTGTTCTAGATCATCTCTTTTTTTTTTTTGGCTAATAGAAATATTAAAATATTTGAGATCACTGCTAATTCATTATAGGTGTTTAATGTATTTTGTTTCATTTGTATAGAGTTTATTATAATAAAAAAATTTTTTTCAAGACTTTTAGAATTTAAAAGTTATAATAATATTTATTCCTTTAATTCTATTAAGTATTCCATCAGTGTTATTTCTTTATTAGTTAATAAGCCAAGTCACTTTTCAAGGTATGACTGCACATAGATTAGTTAAAGTAGAGTTTATCTGTTTTTAAAGCTACTTTTCCTTGAATTAAGACATTTACACTGACTTAAGTCTAATAACTATTGAGGATATTGGTTAACCTAAGGATGTGTTCTAGGGTAAAACCTTAGTTTAGCGTCAGAAATTATCAGGTAATGTTTGTTGAGTTTCGGTAACTAGAGTTACGGTAAAACATGGTTTATTTGACCATTGAAATATAAATAAATTGAAAGTCGATTGTAGTAAATATAAAATTAATGTTTTAATGTTTTAAGTTTAATCGTCAAAAAGAAACAAGAATAAATATAATATTAGATTTAAATTAGTAGATCTAAAAATAAAAAATAAAAACATATTAATATGAATATAAATATAAAGTCAAATGTAATAATTTAACGTTTTTGGCTTGCAGCGGATTTGCGACCATTAATTAAGTAGATCTAGATCTAGTTCTAGCTAGCTGCTAGGCCAAGTAAAAAAAATCTAGATTACGAAAATAGTGAAAAAATATTACAAAATTGTAAAAATGATTACAAAAATAGTAAAAGTGACTAGAAACAGGGTTCGTACCCTATTTTGAAAATGAAACAAGACCACACCATTATTTGTGCTTATAGTCTAATAACTATTGAGGATATTGGTTAACCTAAGGATGTGTTCTAGGGTAAAACCTTAGTTTAGCGTCAGAAATTATCAGGTAATGTTTGTTGAGTTTCGGTAACTAGAGTTACGGTAAAACATGGTTTATTTGACCATTGAAATATAAATAAATTGAAAGTCGATTGTAGTAAATATAAAATTAATGTTTTAATGTTTTAAGTTTAATCGTCAAAAAGAAACAAGAATAAATATAATATTAGATTTAAATTAGTAGATCTAAAAATAAAAAATAAAAACATATTAATATGAATATAAATATAAAGTCAAATGTAATAATTTAACGTTTTTGGCTTGCAGCGGATTTGCGACCATTAATTAAGTAGATCTAGATCTAGTTCTAGCTAGCTGCTAGGCCAAGTAAAAAAAATCTAGATTACGAAAATAGTGAAAAAATATTACAAAATTGTAAAAATGATTACAAAAATAGTAAAAGTGACTAGAAACAGGGTTCGTACCCTATTTTGAAAATGAAACAAGACCACACCATTATTTGTGCTTATAGCTGAGAAACTTTAGTCTGCTATTAAAAACTACCGGTATTCCCCCCCTCCCAAACACACACACAAGAGACGGTGGAGGGGTCACTGTGAGGTCACAGTAGCCCAGTCTAATACGTCATATCGTGAACAGTACCGTAACTTTTATTCCCCCTCCTCCCTCACCTAGCCAAACAGTACCATCTGTGTACTTGGGGTCACAGTGAGTTCATACAAGTTTAGATATCAGTGACCTTAGTTACTAGGAGGGGCGGGTTAGTCTAGCCCTAAACGTTTTCACGGTCAGTCACGCTACAAAAAAAAAAGACAGGTCTTACACTCTAAGCTGATGAACTTCATTCACTTTTCTAAATTCAAGACTTTTTCCAGACTGCGTACGAACCCTGTTAAACAATGTTTAGTAGCAGAAATATTTAGCTGAAACACTTAAAAATAACTAGTTATACAAAATGAGTATTAAAGCAATACTTAACACGCAATTAAAATAAATCTATCCAAATTTTAAAAGTTCTGTATTAAAAATGACGCCAAATAAAGTATGGTTTACAGTACTTCCGGTGGATACCGGAACTGTGTGACAGTCTTTGCCATTGTTTTACTGTTTTTTACTGCTATACCATTCCGGAATAATAACCGACGCTAAACTAAGGTTTTACCTGTTCTAGACCTCAGCCACAAAGAAAACCAAAGAGTTGTGTTTTGTTATTACTCTCTCAGTATAGGGTTTCTATTGCCCATTTTAGTGTTGAAATATCAAAGTTTGAACATTCTCCCCTATCAGACTTTACTGGTCCAAGCCTGGTACCCCATGACAGTGGCCACAAACTCCAGGTACCAGAAGGAAATTATTGCAGGCTACATGCAGGAAACTTCTGACAACCTGGCTGGTCTCCCCTTCAAGCTACATGACTTTGGATTCAGAGGATGCTCTAGTGTTGAGGTAATAAAAACCTTAGCCTTTATCTAATATATAAAGCTCAGTTCTTTATATGGGGGACGGACGGACGAATGGACCAGTGATACAAAGGAATATAGTAAAATAAAATTGACTTGATCACCATAGTGTAGTATACCTAAAGTGTTTATTATCTAAATTAGTGATTTTAAAAAATAATGTTGAAGGTTTAGTAAAACAAGTTTCATTTCCCAAACTTATTGTTTTAATTGACGTCATGTGAATTAAACAAAATTAAAGAAAATATATAACCCTTCACAAAAATTCTAATTGTGTCTGAAAATTAGTATCCTTAGTCCTTTAGCACCAATTACTTTCCTTGATAGATCACAAAAAATACTACTTCCCTTTTAAAAAAAACATTACATCAGGGAAAAAAATACTTTTATTTGTTTTATTAGGAGTTAGAAAAAAATAATTATATAATTAGCATGGATAGATAAAGTGCAATGTGGTAGGTAAAACACAGATATTTTAAATAACCTTATATTTATTTTATACATTGAATGTACTGTTTACTAATTATTATTTTTAATCATTAACAGTTTAATAGCCACTTCTACATGTCCTCTATCTTTCCTTCTATCTTTGGGTTTGCAAACAAGCTGGGGTATTATAGTCAGCAGAGTGCAGTTTGGCGCCCTTGGCTATCCCATGAGCTCTATGGTGCATACTTTCATTTTTAAAGTGTGATAAGATGTGGGTAAAAAGGGTAACTGTAGTCATTCACTAATTTGAAACCAGGGCGTCATCCCGCTCCTCAACAGGGTGCTATTTGGTGCCCCCGGCCTTCCCATGAGCGCTATGGTGCCTACATTTGTGTTAAAGAGTGCAATAGACTATGGATAGGTTGGGGTATTATATTTGTTTACTGTATCAGGTGGGTCAGCCGGCACCTCAGCAGGGTGCCAATTGGCACCCAGGGCTAGACTGTGAGCACTATGCATTTATGTTTGCATTTAAGTTTGTGTTTATGTTCACATTTAATTTAGCATTATTTTCTGAGTTATTGTTTGTGTTTAGTTTTGTGTTTGCGTTTATATTTGTGCTTGTGTTTTTGTTTTTGTGTTAGCATTTGTGTATGCTTTTGTGTTTGTGTTTGTGTTTGCATTTGTGTTTTGTTTTGGGTTTGTGTTTTCGTTTGTGTTTGGGTTTAGGTTTTTGTTTGTGTTTGTGTTTAAATTTATTTTTGTGTTTTGGTTTTGTTTTAGGTGTGATTAGGGTTAATTAAAAAAATAGTATATTTCCTAAGCCGGGTATATGCTGCTAATATACACACAAGTCATGGTCCTTTACAGATAGGTTTTTCACAGAGGCCAGTGCAGGGCCTGACTGGGACGGCTAGTACTTTTTATAATTTGCTTTACCACCCTAAGTTTCATGTTTAGAAAACAAAAGTTTATATTGAAATGCATGTTCCTTGTCCTAACAAGACATGACAAAATTTATACTATTTCGTGACATAAAAATAGTAAATCAACTTGTTTGACTTGATTACAGTCTGCTGGTATAGGTGGCGCTGCACATTTGGTTAACTTTCAAGGTACAGACACAATAGCTGCTCTGTGTACAGCACAGAAATATTACCACTGTAAGAATGCTGGTGTTTCAATCCCTGCAGCAGAACATAGGTAATCTCCAATATTTCAGTCACATAGGTAATCTCCAATATTTCAGTCACATAGGTAAACTCCAATATTTCAGTCACATAGGTAATCTCCAATATTTCAGTCACATAGGTAATCTCCAATATTTCAGCCACATTTTGTTCACATACTTCTATTAAAAGATTCATGTTTGAATAATAAATGAAAAAAATCATGGCATACTTATCAAGTGATTTACTTTAATTAATAGTCATACACATATAAAGTAAATTACATGCCATGTTTATACACATATTAAGTGAATAACATTCTCAGCACAATCACAACTTGGGGAGAGCATGGAGAAAAAGATGGCTTCAAGAACATGCTAGAAAAATTCCCAACTGGGCTGGTGGCTTGTGTGAGTGACAGCTACGACATCTGGAACGCGTGTGAGAAGATTTGGGGGGAGGAGCTAAAGGAAGCCATTGTGTCTAGAGGGGACAAAGGCACACTGGTCGTCCGTCCTGATTCTGGACATCCTCCAGAAATTGTTGTTAAAGTAAGCAAAATCTATTTATAATAGTCTAGACATCTCCCATCTTAAAAGTTTATGTTTAAAGTTCATTATTAAATATACTTTTAAAGTCATTGTTTATCCAACAAGAACAAAATAAAACTGTTATTTTTGTTTCATACCAAAGCTAACAGCAATTATAAAGCCTGCTGCTGTACATTATTAAACATGCATAGTTTTTAAGATATTTAAATCTACAAAACCAAACCATAAAATCTGATGTTCTATTTAACAGTTGGTTTTTCAAACTCATTTTATTGCTTCTATTGGCAACAAATAAATTCATTGTTTTGTAACTCCCAAACATTTTACACTTCTATACTTAGCAAACGTTGTCTCAAATAGCATGCAATACCTTTAGAAAAACAGCAAGTTTGAGAAGTTCAACTGGCCACTTTGTTGACTATATTTTATAACACTGGGCCTCACACCAGATGCTTTGTGTAGTAATATGTTTTTTTGTTTTTTTATTGAATTAAATGCCTAGGTTATTTTCTTTTTTTTTTTTTCAAATAGGTGCTAAATATATTTGGTGAGAAATTTGGTTACACTGAAAATTCCAAGGGTTACAAAGTCCTGCCACCATACATCAGGATCATTCAGGGTGATGGCATCTCATACGAGTCACTGGGAGAGATCCTGGAGAACATGAAGAGCAACAAATGGAGCGCAGACAATGTGGCCTTTGGTAGTGGGGGAGCTCTCCTACAGAGGCTGGACAGGGACACACAGAAGTGTGCCTTTAAGTGCAGCTATGCTGTCATCAATGGGGAGGAGGTGACCAGTTTTTTTTTAAATTTAAATTCTTAACATTGACTGCAAGATGTTGTTTTTTCTTATATTGGAAATAAGACAAGATATCCTATATTTAGTAATAGTGAAGCTCATCTGTCAATAACTTCCAAAGGGGAACAACCAAAGCAATCATAAACAGAACAAGCCAAGAAGAGTGGTGAAGGGAAACACTTTATTTATCCGATTTAAATTTTGGCAATTTTATTTTTTTAATTTTTTTGTGCTTGCTTGTTCTCAATAAGATTAATACTGATCACAGCTTTTTTTTAAACCTTCATTAAGGTGAATGTATTCAAAGATCCAATCACTGACAGAGGTAAGAAGAGTAAAAGAGGTCGCCTGACACTGGAGAAGCAAGATGACACATTTGTTACAGTAGAGCAAGGGAAAGGAGATACAGAAAAGGTTGGTTTCTCAAAACTCAGTTTTTCTTGGTTTTAGCTTGGCTTTAGAAAAACAACTGGATATTGATAATAAAATAAACTCAGCACATCTTGGTTTTAGAAAAACAACTTGATATTGATAATATTTTTAAAATCCTTTTGTTTTGTATAGGATGTGATGCAGGTTGTGTTTGAAAATGGAAAACTTCTAAAAGATTTCACATTTGAGGAAGTTAGGAAAAATGCTGAAATTGACCTTCTTCGGAATGAAAAATAATCAATTCAAATAGTTGATAATTAGACTGCTGCAAAATTATGCAATCATTCTAAAAAAAAAAATTTGTTCTAAGATTTTTAGAAAAAATAATTTTTTGTATAATTAGTTGGCTTTTTTATTCTTTGCTCAGTAGTTATTTAAAAAGGTAACTGTACCATTGTAGTTATTAATTTTACTTAGGAAGGTGACAGTGACAATGTGTTCATTAATTTTTGTTTAGGATTGTGACTTGTGACATTGTGTTAATTAATTTTCTTAAGAAATTGACTAATAACATTGTATTCATTACCATAAATCTCCCAAGAACATGTTTATTTGAGGTATTTAATTTTGTTTACAATTTCTTACACATTATTCTTTTAAAAAAATGTTCTTTAAAATGTTCTGGAACAGTACTATAATACAGCTTCATTCTTAATCCAAAAATGTATATCTCAGTGTTGTGTTTTACTGTGAACATATGTATCCACTGCCAACTAAGACTATATTACAACTGTTTCACCACTAAGTTTTATAAAACAAACTGCCGCCAGTACCCTTTTTGCCCAGGGAAACACCATATTACCCTCTGAACCCCATGAATGTAAGCTCATCTAGTTTTGATTTAGAAGGTTTTCATCTGTTTGTGATGCTTTCCTTAAGCATGTTCAGACAATTTATTTCATTATTTATCTAGACAGTTGTGTTCAGTGTCTAAATTTGACTGATCCATACAGTAGTTTACATTGTGCGTATCTCACCCCCTGTCTCCAATAGTTTGTGTAATATTGACATGATTAAATCATTCTTCTGCTATATAATTATATAGTTTTATGTCTGATTCAAATATTGTAACCCATGTCCACATTTTTACTTGTATATTCTTTTTTCATGTTACTTTGTTTAGTATTAAAAATCTTTATGAGGTTTTGTTACTGTTTTACAATTAAGTAAATGGTTTGCCAAGAACTAACATGGTAATAATTAAATTTATTTAGACACCAATTTACCAGGCCTTAATGGTATTGTTCTCTAATATTTAATATCTTTTAAAAACATTGCATAATGCTTTTTAAACATGGTTATGCATAAAAACTTCTTTTATACACAGTTTTCACCAAACAGCGCAGGTATAATAGCTACATAGTACAACAGAATAATCTCTCTATAAAAAAATAAAGTTGCCTTTTATTCACATTCCAAAGGATATTTACTATATTTAGTAAGTAGGCCTATTTTGTAAACAAGTTAAAATATTGTGTTTGAATCCAAGTTAATCAGATTTTTTTACCATTATTTGTTGTTTTGAATGAAATTGTATTGAAGTTAATTATTTGCTTATGAACATAGAGATATTGTAGATTTTATAAATTAGAGGTTTTATAGTACATTCAAATCTTGCATTTAACTGCTCAAAGATTCATGCTGACATTTTATTGGTCAATTTAAAAATGTGTTTCAAGTTTTACAAAAGGTGTTTTAACTTAGAAATAATACCAAAATTAATTATAATGATTTTTCATACATTTTTATTTCCTCATTTGAATAGTTTTGCTTTATCAAGCACACTCTTATAAATGAAATGAATCTGGATAATGCATGTGATTTTTTTTTAAAGTTTCCTTTTCCAACCTAGTTTTCGTTGAGTGATAACTAACAAAAGCAATTTTTTTTTACTTATAAACTGCTGTTTTTATCAATAATTGCTTCAAATTACAAAATAAAAATTTTAAACATGGTATTTATTTACTTTTGTTTTCACTGTCTTAAGATACAAGTTTACCGGAATAATTAGTTTTTATTTTCCTAGGAGCTGCAAAACTATTTCTCAATTTTAAACATTTTTGACCTCTGTTGAGCTACTGTTTTTTTTGGTGGTTTAATTTCCAGCTTAGCAAAGTGTCTTCTTTCAAGCCATACAAACTTTTGTTAGCCTAGTGGAAACAATGCAACTGTTGTTTTTTTTTGTTGTTGCGAGAAGTTGTGATGCTCAAAATATTCAGTTTTCTTGTAGAAAGTGACTAGTGTTAGAAAATATAAAAGAAAATATAAATATGGTTTAGATACAGTGAGTCATTAGCATAGAATTTTAAAGAAAAAATAAGGCTAATTATTTTTATTTTTCCTTTAATGAAAGAATGAGAGCAAGCAGACAGACTTTTTAAAAAACTTCTTATTAAATTCCAACACACATGTGGGTGAGAATTTGCTTCATTCAAGTTCAATAATTGACTCATTCTTTACTAGAATACATCTTTAATTTTATTTTTTATACGTTCACAGTTAAATAATTACATTTTAATCAAGTAATGCATGGTGAAACGTGTTTGCTTAAATGTTAATTTTCATAATTTCTGCAATTTAAAAAAATAAATGATGTATTCAATGTAACTGATTCAATGAAAACGTTTGGTAGTTCCCGCACTCTCGGTTAACTCCCCTATTATGTTTATACATTATCCATGTCTGCTAATGTAGAAAATGTCATTGTTGTCTCCCCTGCATGTCATAATTCAAATAAAATTTCAAAGTGTAATTTTCTAAAGCTTTTAAAAAATGTTTGTCATTGACAAAAAAGAATTGTATGTTGTCATAAGCGTCAGTACATTGTTGGACTCCTGTGTCTGACTTTCTATGTGCGTCACATACTTTTCACACAATAGCAGTGTGGTAAGGGTGTGACGCTTGTGTGTGTGTGAGGTGGGGGGCAATGTTGTGGTGGCTGACACAAACTGGCGTAACATTTAAAAGAAAATAATTCAATATACATTTGATATTAAAATGGCTTAAACAAAGTACTTTAATTATTTTTTTTAAACTATGTAAAAAATAAAAAGAATGTAAAGAAAATGTAAGTTATTTTAAATAATCATTTTATTAATGAAAGTATATATGGTTCATAAAATGTGTTTCTTTTTTTAAAAGGACTTTAAAACCATAAACGCTATACAATCAAATTTATTCTTAAAATATAAAGTAATGTGAGCTAAACTAAGAAAATATCGTCATCAAACAACTACAAAGCTAATTTTGTTTCTAAAGACAAATGATCGACCAACATTTCAAGTTATTCTTCAAGCTAAAGAACAACAGATACGTCGATTTATCCATCTCACAACCATGTTTTACACCTGAAAAATGTTTTACTAAACAAATAATATCAGGTCAACCAATACATAAAATATGAAATAGTTCCATCCAACACATATTAAACAAATCTGCAAATAATGTCCCATTTACGATTGTGTTCACTGATAAGCCGTTCACACATGGATTCTGTCCCCTTCGTCCCTATGTTCTATTTGGTTCCTACGTCTTTGCAACTCTCCCAATCCAAACAGGCTTTTTAAAATTTGATTACAGCCCTCACAACACCCACCTCTTCCTCGTTAAATGCAACCCTCCCAACCCCCACGTCACTTACAAGCCAATCTCTTCCACGTAAATTGAACCCTCCCAACCCTCGCTCCTCCACGTAAATTAAACCATCCTAACCACTTCCTCCTCCACGTAAATTAAAACCTCCCAACCAAACCCTCCCCCATGTAAATTTAAACATCCCAACCAAACCCTCCTCCACGTAAATTAAACCCTCCCTCCTCCACGTAAATTAAACCCTCCCTCCTCCACGTAAATTAACCCTCCCCCCCAACCAACCCCTCCTCCACGTAAATTAACCCCCCCCCCCCCCCCCAACCAAACCCTCCGCCACGTAAATTAAACCCTCCCAACCCTCCCTCTCAATCCACACAACGTTAACAGTTGATAAAGAGAATTGACAATTTTTTTTTAGCTTAAGACGTTATTTTAACTAGTTCTTCCAGACCAGTTTTATTTGACAATATTGTAATAGCGTTATTATAATAGCGTTATTGTAATAGCGTTATTGTAATAGCGTTATTGTAATAGCGTTATTGTAATAGCGTTATTGTAATAGCGTTATTGTAATAGGGTTATTGTAATAGCGTTATTGTAATAGCGTTATTGTAATAGCGTTCTTGTAATAGCGTTATTGTAATAGCGTTATTGTAATAGCGTTATTGTAATAGCGTTCTTGTAATAGCGTTATTGTAATAGCGTTATTGTAATAGCGTTATTGTAATAACGTTATTGTAATAGCGTTATTGTAATAGCGTTATTGTAATAGCGTTATTGTAATAGCGTTCTTGTAATAGCGTTATTGTAATAGCGTTCTTGTAATAGCGTTCTTGTAATAGCGTTCTTGTAATAGCGTTATTTAAGTACACACATAAAGGCTTCACTGTGATCGGCAGACCATTCACACAACACACATCATCGGAGCAAGGTGTTTGATGTTGAAACATCTGGGCATGGTTTGTGATGTTGAAACATCATCTGGGCATGGTTTGTGATGTTGAAACATCATCTGGGCATGGTTTGTGATGTTGAAACATCATCTGGGCATGAAGTGCGATGTAAAACAATTCACCTGTGCCTCAACACGTCATTGACTGAAAGTGAAATAAAAACATTTGAAATACAAACTGTATTACAATTATAGGGCTGATAAGTAGATCACCAACCAGTTCTATGGCCCATGCAGGTTGAGCCGTAGAACTGGTTGGTGACCTACTTACCAGCCCTATTGTGTTATTGTGCCAGCTGACCCCTAACCCATGCACACTCATCAAATAATAAATGATTAATTAATAAAAAAAAATTAAATATAATTAGACCACCCATGGACAAATTTAGCTTGATTCCCCTGCAAAAAAAAAACACTGGCACCCTGACTACACATAAACATTAGCCAACATAGTTTTAATCACACTACACTTCATTGTTGGATGCTGTCTGTCCACTACAGGCAAAAAAAGCCAGACTAGCTGTGACTTACTTTCATAAAACGCCAGACTAGATGTGACTTACTTTCATAAAACGCCAGACTAGATGTGACTTACTTTCATAAACGCCAGACTAGATGTGACTTACTTTCATAAAACGCCAGACTAGATGTGATTTACTTTCATAAAACGCCAGACTAGATGTGACTTACTTTCATAAAACGCCAGACTAGATGTGACTTACTTTCATAAAACGCCAGACTAGATGTGACTTACTATAAAACGCCAGACTAGATGTGACTTACTTTCATAAAACGCCAGACTAGATAGGACTTACTTTCATAAAACGCCAGACTAGATGTGACTTACTTTCATAAACGCCAGACTAGATGTGACTTACTTTCATAAAACGCCAGACTAGATGTGACCTACTTTCATAAAACGCCAGACTAGATGTGATTTACTTTCATAAAACGCCAGACTAGATGTGACTTACTTTCATAAACGCCAGACTAGATGTGACTTACTTTCATAAAACGCCAGACTAGATGTGACTTACTTTCATAAAACGCCAGACTAGATGTGACTTACTTTCATAAAACGCCGTTCGCCTCATATCACACAATCCTCCCTGTAAATGGACGAAAAATTGTGTCAGTTGATTGGTAAACTTGGGGCTCATGTCACGGTTTAATATTTAAATTTTTAAAAAAAACGGTATATTCAATGTTATATAGGTCGACATATTTTGATAAATAATTGTGGTTATCATCAGCATAGCGAAGATCAATTGTCAAACCATTTTATAAGGCGGCAAAGAAGAAAGAAAGAAGAAAGAAAGAAATCCGCGTTTAACATTAGTCCAGCTTCTCATGCCTCCCATAAAGTTCCTTGTTCGAACCTGACGGTCCATGGGGCAGGTGAAGTAGAGTTCACTTGTGTCAATGACCTCGGCATGTGTATGGATAGTCTTTACTTTCCCTAACGTGAGCTGGGTGAGCTCGGGGATGTTCAATTGACTTGACCCGGATTCGAACTCGAGACTTTCGGGTTGGCAGTCTAGCGGCGCCTCCCCTAGCTCTAATCTAATCCGTCCCTCCCCTAGCTCTAATCTAATCCCCGCCTCCCCTAGCTCTAATCTAATCCGCGCCTTTTCTAGCTCTAATCCCCGCCTCCCCTAGCTCTAATCTAATCCGTGCCTCCCCTAGCTCTAATCTAATCCCCGCCTCCCCTAGCCCTAATCCAATCCGCGCCTTCCCTAGCTCTAATCTAATCCGCGCCTTCCCTAGCTCTAATCCACGCCTCCCCTAGCTCTAATCTAATCCGTGCCTCCCCTAGCTCTAATCTAATCCGTGCCTCCCAGTTTGTGAAACCGCCAGATAAATATCTTTGTGTAAACCCCTGAGTATTTTGTTGAGGGTTCGTTTATTATTTCAATCACATAGGTTCGTTTATTATTTCTCAATCACATAGGTTCGTTTATTATTTCAATCACAAAATGTGAGGTGAAAGCAACACTTGACTAATGTCATAAAACATGTAGGAGGGAAGTGTGTGTCCACAAGAAAAATGTTGAGAAACTGACTTTTAAAAGTCCATCTTTTTGTTATTCGATAATGGCAGTAATTAAGCTGATCGTTTTTAAAACCGCGTATTGTAAAACGAATAATATACTTTTCTAATCAAAATATTTTTCCGTCACGACCTTGACCTTTACCACTGGCGCCCCCTACCAGACACATCAACCAAATTTCTGACAGTAAGATGTTTCTAGTGGCCGGGCGAGCGGTCCAAGACAAACAAACAGCTAAATACGTGTCTCCTCTACGTGTCCCCCCCCCCCCCACACCACCCATATAACGCAAAACTTCAAAGCTGCCATTAACTTGAATAGTGTGAGACTGTTTATTTCACAAAGGGGCTGGCTAATTTAGTATTTTGTTTAATAACATTGATTACTCTCAGTGGCGTAGCGAGGTCGGGTGTCACCCGGTGCGGCACTTAATGGTGTCACCCCCCAGAGGCGTCGCGACCCTTCCCGGGGACAAACTTTCAAGTTTTCGATTTGCACCCCCCCCCCCTCAAGTTTTTGCATCCCCCCCCCTCACACTTTCGATTTGCACCCCCCCCCCCTCAAGTTTTTCTCCATATATTTTGCTATTTTTAGCCTTGGTGTCACCCCCCCCCCTAAATGGTGTCACCCGGTGCGTTCCGCACCCCCGCCCCCCCCCCCCCTCGCTACGCCCCTGATTACTGTACTTATAGATGACAGTGTATCAAAACATCCGCCATTTTAGCAAACAAAAGTTGATTTACAGCTACAATTTTAATGAAAGTTAGTCTTACTAAAGTGACAATTCATCTTACATTTCGGTTCGTTATTATACTTAGATCTAGATTATATGTCAACAGAATTTCACCGCAAAAAAAAAAAAAAAAGTTAAAATTTCTAGATTTGTGCAATTGCAAATTTTCTAACACTGATTCAGAGATACACAGAAGACGAAATGTACGAACGCACTGTTTTGACCTGTCTCCAATAGAAATTAGATCCCTCTCAACAAGCGAGGTCTATGCTGTAGTCTACTAGTTTGTCTATGCAAATGTTGGTAGTGGCAGTGGCGTAGCGAGGTCGGGTGTCATCCGGTGCGGCACTTAATGGTGTCACCCCCATAGGCGTAGCGACCCTTCCCGGGGACAAACTTTCAATTTTCGATTTGCACCCCCCCCCCCCGCTCCCCTCAAACTTTCGATTTGCACCCCAGCTCAAATTTGTATCTATATATTTTGCTATTTTTTGCCTTGGTGTCACCCCCCTAAATGGTGTCACCCGGTGCGGTCCGCATGCCCGCTCCCCCCCCCCCCCCTCGCTACGCCTCTGGGTAGTGGCAAAACATATTTGGGGAGGGGTGTGTGTTCTTACTTTAGCACATAAGCTTCTAGCCCAGACTTGTCTAGCTGAAAACGAAGAACACACTTCATGTTGAAAGGGAGATAATTTAACCTATTGTCACGCAGACAACATCTGAATAGCTCGTTAAAGATGTGCCACGCTTTTAGTAGGAGTATTTTAAAAAAGTTCGTTTTAACCAGAGACACAACGCACATTCTCTCAGAACTAAAAATAAACCATTTCCGTTTCCTCTGCGCTTCAAGCTGAAAACACGCAACTGTTTGTTCAAGGAAGTTTTCTATAAGATTCTAGATAGTTCAAATACTGTCTCGTATCTAAGTGAACATGTTATCAGTGGCGTTGCTAACCTTAACCACACGTTTATCACCATGACCACATGACCACCACCTTTACCACATGACTACCACTTTGACCACTTAAATAGTCTTTTAAGTACAAATCGACAAGTATTAATGTTGGGGGGGGGGGGGGGGGTGTGACACCACGAAGTGCCGCACCGGGTGACATCCGACCTAGTGACGCCGAGGTCGGGTGTCGCCCGGTGCGGCACTTAATGGTGTCACCCCCAGAGGCGTAGCGACCCTTCCCGGGGACAAACTTTCAAATTTTCGATTTGCACCCCCCCCCCCTCAAGCTTTCGATTTGCACCCCCCCCCCCAAGTTTTCGATTTTTGCATCCCCCCCCCCCTCAAACTTTCGATTTGCACCCCCCCCTCAAGTTTTTCTCTATATATTTTGCTATTTTTTGCCTTGGTGTCACCCCACTAAATGGTGTCACCCGGTGCGGTCCGCACCTCCGCCCCCCCCCCTTCGCTACGCCTCTGCCTGGACTACCGCCTTAACCACCACCTTGACCACATGACTACCACCTAGACCACTAGACAACCACCTAGACCACTAGACAACCACCTAGACCACTAGACAACCACCTGGACCACTAGACAACCACCTGGACCACTAGACAACCACCTGGACCACTAGGCAACCACCTGGACCACTAGACAACCAACTGGACCACTAGACCACCACCTGGACCACTAGACTACCACCTGGACCACTAGACTACCACCTACCGAGGTGTGGAAGTTGATGTTAGTCCTCAGAGCTCTGTTGTTGACTGGCATGATGGGCCGGATGTTTCCCTCTAGCAGCGTCATTCGCGTGTCTCTCTGACGTTTCTGGAGCTGCCTTAGAGTGTCTAGCTTTCAGAAGTTGGGGAGAAATTATTGTCTAGCTTTCAGAAGTTGGGGAGAAATTATTGTCTAGCTTTCAGAAGTTGGGGAGAAATTTTTGTCTAGCTTTCAGAAGTTGGGGAGAAATTATTGTCTAGCTTTCAGAAGTTGGGGAGAAATTATTGTCTAGCTTTCAGAAGTTGGGGAGAAAATATTGTCTAGCTTTCAGAAGTTGGGGAGAAATTATTGTCTAGCTTTCAGAAGTTGGGGAGAAATTATTGTCTAGCTTTCAGAAGTTGGGGAGAAATCACCATATCATGTCTTTAATTAAAGAAAATTTATTGCATCAAACAAAAAACGTTTTAAATGCAAATGAATAAAAGTTTATCCAGTAGTAAAATCAGACAGCTAAGGATTGTGTGTGGTGGGGGGGGGGCCTGGGGGTGGGGGGGAAGTGAGATAAGAGAAAACAAGGGAAGGAATTCATACTCCTGTGGCTATAAATGAAGCAAAACATAATAATTTCCTACAGAGTTATATCTGTTACGGGAGAATGTATGGGGGGGGGGGGGGGGAGGGGCGAAACTTTTGACGCTTTTTATTTTTAGGAGCTTTATGTAACGACCGTTAAAAAGTGTAAAGAGGGATAGGAGTTAATCGCCTAAATCAGCATAACAATACAAAGACAGACTTGCTTTAGGATAATATTTGTAAACATCAAAAGGCTAATACCATAAAACAGCATAACAAAAGACAGACTTGCTTTAGGATAATATTTGTAAACATTATCAAAAGGTTTACTCGCTTCCTATGGCACCTGACCTAAAAAAAAAAACTACAGACCAAAACATGCGTTTAAACCCAGACTTACTTGTGATGCTTTAATAAATATGGGCCTGTTAAAAATAACCCACGTGACCGTCTCCTGGCAACCAGGCTGTGTAAAGGAGCCCTCGTATGTGATGTAGTAGTTGGTGTCTGGTACCAGAGCCTTGACGTGGAACCCGTGGAGTCGCATCTCTTGCCCTGAGAGCCATTTAGACATGTAACACATACAGAGTCATTTAGACATGTAACACATACAGAGACATTTAGACATGTCACACATACAGAGCCATTTAGACATGTCACACATACAGAACCATTTAGACATGTAACACATACAGAGCCATCTAGACATGTAACACATACAGAGCCATTTAGACATGTAACCATTTAGACATGTCACACATACAGAGCCATTTAGACATGTAACCATTTAGACATGTAACACATACAGAGTCATTTAGACATGTAACACATACAGAGACATTTAGACATGTCACACATACAGAGCCATTTAGACATGTCACACATACAGAACCATTTAGACATGTAACACATACAGAGCCATCTAGACATGTAACACATACAGAGCCATTTAGACATGTAACCATTTAGACATGTCACACATACAGAGCCATTTAGACATGTAACCATTTAGACATGTAACACATACAGAGCCATTTAGACATGTAACACATACAGAGACATTTAGACATGTCACACATACAGAGACATTTAGACATGTAACACATACAGAGACATTTAGACATGTCACACATACAGAGACATTTAGACATGTAACACATACAGAGACAATTAGACATGTAACACATACAGAGCCATTTAGACATGTAACACATACAGAGCCATTTAGACATGTAACACATACAGAGACATTTAGACATGTCACACATACAGAGACATTTAGACATGTAACATACAGACATTTAGACATGTAACACATACAGAGCCATTTAGACATGTCACACATACAGAGCCGTTTAGACATGTAACACATACAGAGCCATTTAGACATGTCACACATACAGAGACATTTAGACATGTAACATACAGACATTTAGACATGTAACACATACAGAGCCATTTAGACATGTAACACATACAGAGACATTTAGACATGTCACACATACAGAGACATTTAGACATGTAACATACAGACATTTAGACATGTCACACATACAGAGCCATTTAGACATGTAACACATACAGAGCCGTTTAGACATGTAACACATACAGAGACATTTAGACATGTAACACATACAGAGCCATTTAGACATGTAACACATACAGAGCCATTTAGACATGTAACACATACAGAGACATTTAGACATGTAACACATACAGAGACATTTAGACATGTAACACATACAGAGCCATTTAGACATGTAACACATACAGAGCCATTTAGACATGTAACACATACAGAGACATTTAGACATGTAACACATACAGAGCCATTTAGACATGTAACACATACAGAGCCATTTAGACATGTCACACATACAGAGACATTTAGACATGTAACACATACAGAGACATTTAGACATGTCACACATACAGAGACATTTAGACATGTCACACATACAGAGCCATTTAGACATGTAACACATACAGAGACATTTAGACATGTAACACATACAGAGCCATTTAGACATGTAACACATACAGAGCCGTTTAGACATGTAACACATACAGAGACATTTAGACATGTAACACATACAGAGCCATTTAGACATGTAACACATACAGAGCCATTTAGACATGTCACACATACAGAGACATTTAGACATGTAACACATACAGAGACATTTAGACATGTCACACATACAGAGCCATTTAGACATGTAACACATACAGAGACATTTAGACATGTCACACATACAGAGCCATTTAGACATGTAACACATACAGAGCCATTTAGACATGTAACACATACAGAGACATTTAGACATGTAACACATACAGAGACATTTAGACATGTAACATACAGACATTTAGACATGTAACACATACAGAGACATTTAGACATGTCACACATACAGAGACATTTAGACATGTCACACATACAGAGACATTTAGACATGTAACACATACAGAGACATTTAGACATGTAACACATACAGAGCCATTTAGACATGTCACACATACAGAGCCATTTAGACATGTAACACATACAGAGACATTTAGACATGTAACACATACAGAGCCATTTAGACATGTAACACATACAGAGACATTTAGACATGTCACACATACAGAGACATTTAGACATGTCACACATACAGAGCCATTTAGACATGTCACACATACAGAGACATTTAGACATGTCACACATACAGAGCCATTTAGACATGTAACACATACAGAGCCATTTAGACATGTAACACATACAGAGACATTTAGACATGTAACACATACAGAGCCATTTAGACATGTAACACATACAGAGCCATTTAGACATGTAACACATACAGAGACATTTAGACATGTAACACATACAGAGCCATTTAGACATGTAACACATACAGAGCCGTTTAGACATGTAACACATACAGAGACATTTAGACATGTAACACATACAGAGCCATTTAGACATGTAACACATACAGAGCCATTTAGACATGTCACACATACAGAGACATTTAGACATGTAACACATACAGAGACATTTAGACATGTCACACATACAGAGCCATTTAGACATGTAACACATACAGAGCCATTTAGACATGTAACACATACAGAGACATTTAGACATGTAACACATACAGAGCCATTTAGACATGTAACACATACAGAGCCGTTTAGACATGTAACACATACAGAGACATTTAGACATGTAACACATACAGAGCCATTTAGACATGTAACACATACAGAGCCATTTAGACATGTCACACATACAGAGACATTTAGACATGTAACACATACAGAGACATTTAGACATGTCACACATACAGAGCCATTTAGACATGTAACACATACAGAGACATTTAGACATGTCACACATACAGAGCCATTTAGACATGTAACACATACAGAGCCATTTAGACATGTAACACATACAGAGACATTTAGACATGTAACACATACAGAGACATTTAGACATGTAAAATACAGACATTTAGACATGTAACACATACAGAGACATTTAGACATGTCACACATACAGAGACATTTAGACATGTCACACATACAGAGACATTTAGACATGTAACACATACAGAGACATTTAGACATGTAACACATACAGAGCCATTTAGACATGTCACACATACAGAGCCATTTAGACATGTAACACATACAGAGACATTTAGACATGTAACACATACAGAGCCATTTAGACATGTAACACATACAGAGCCATTTAGACATGTCACACATACAGAGACATTTAGACATCTCACACATACAGAGACATTTAGACATGTAACACATACAGAGCCATTTAGACATGTAACACATACAGAGCCATTTAGACATGTAACACATACAGAGCCATTTAGACATGTAACACATACAGAGACATTTAGACATGTCACACATACAGAGAAATTTAGACATGTAACACATACAGAGCCATTTAGACATGTAACACATACAGAGCCATTTAGACATGTCACACATACAGAGACATTTAGACATGTAACACATACAGAGCCATTTAGACATGTAACACATACAGAGCCATTTAGACATGTAACACATACAGAGCCATTTAGACATGTAACACATACAGAGACATTTAGACATGTAACACATACAGAGCCATTTAGACATGTCACACATACAGAGACATTTAGACATGTAACACACACAGAGCCATTTAGACATGTAACACATACAGAGCCATTTAGACATGTAACACATACAGAGCCATTTAGACATGTAACACATACAGAGACATTTAGACATGTAACACATACAGAGCCATTTAGACATGTAACACATACAGAGCCGTTTAGACATGTAACACATACAGAGACATTTAGACATGTAACACATACAGAGCCATTTAGACATGTAACACATACAGAGCCATTTAGACATGTCACACATACAGAGACATTTAGACATGTAACACATACAGAGACATTTAGACATGTCACACATACAGAGCCATTTAGACATGTAACACATACAGAGCCATTTAGACATGTAACACATACAGAGACATTTAGACATGTAACACATACAGAGACATTTAGACATGTCACACATACAGAGCCATTTAGACATGTAACACATACAGAGACATTTAGACATGTAACACATACAGAGACATTTAGACATGTAACATACAGACATTTAGACATGTAACACATACAGAGACATTTAGACATGTCACACATACAGAGACATTTAGACATGTCACACATACAGAGACATTTAGACATGTAACACATACAGAGACATTTAGACATGTAACACATACAGAGCCATTTAGACATGTCACACATACAGAGCCATTTAGACATGTAACACATACAGAGACATTTAGACATGTAACACATACAGAGCCATTTAGACATGTAACACATACAGAGACATTTAGACATGTCACACATACAGAGACATTTAGACATCTCACACATACAGAGCCATTTAGACATGTAACACATACAGAGCCATTTAGACATGTAACACATACAGAGCCATTTAGACATGTAACACATACAGAGCCATTTAGACATGTAACACATACAGAGACATTTAGACATGTCACACATACAGAGACATTTAGACATGTAACACATACAGAGACATTTAGACATGTAACACATACAGAGCCATTTAGACATGTAACACATACAGAGCCATTTAGACATGTAACACATACAGAGCCATTTAGACATGTAACACATACAGAGCCATTTAGACATGTAACACATACAGAGACATTTAGACATGTCACACATACAGAGACATTTAGACATGTAACACATACAGAGCCATTTAGACATGTAACACATACAGAGACATTTAGACATGTCACACATACAGAGACATTTAGACATGTAACACATACAGAGCCATTTAGACATGTAACACATACAGAGCCATTTAGACATGTCACACATACAGAGACATTTAGACATGTAACACATACAGAGACATTTAGACATGTAACACATACAGAGACATTTAGACATGTCACACATACAGAGACATTTAGACATGTAACACATACAGAGACATTTAGACATGTAACACATACAGAGCCATTTAGACATGTCACACATACAGAGACATTTAGACATGTAACACACACAGAGCCATTTAGACATGTAACACATACAGAGCCATTTAGACATGTAACACATACAGAGCCATTTAGACATGTCACACATACAGAGACATTTAGACATGTAACACATACAGAGCCATTTAGACATGTAACACATACAGAGCCATTTAGACATGTCACACATACAGAGACATTTAGACATGTAACACATACAGAGACATTTAGACATGTAACACATACAGAGACATTTAGACATGTCACACATACAGAGCCATTTAGACATGTAACACATACAGAGCCATTTAGACATGTAACACATACAGAGACATTTAGACATGTAACACATACAGAGACATTTAGACATGTAACATACAGACATTTAGACATGTAACACATACAGAGACATTTAGACATGTAACATACAGACATTTAGACATGTCACACATACAGAGACATTTAGACATGTAACATACAGACATTTAGACATGTAACACATACAGAGACATTTAGACATGTAACATACAGACATTTAGACATGTAACACATACAGAGCCATTTAGACATGTCACACATACAGAGACATTTAGACATGTAACACATACAGAGCCATTTAGACATGTAACACATACAGAGACATTTAGACATGTCACACATACAGAGCCATTTAGACATGTAACACATACAGAGCCATTTAGACATGTAACACATACAGAGACATTTAGACATGTAACACATACAGAGACATTTAGACATGTAACATACAGACATTTAGACATGTAACACATACAGAGACATTTAGACATGTCACACATACAGAGACATTTAGACATGTAACACATACAGAGACATTTAGACATGTAACACATACAGAGCCATTTAGACATGTCACACATACAGAGCCATTTAGACATGTAACACATACAGAGACATTTAGACATGTAACACATACAGAGCCATTTAGACATGTAACACATACAGAGACATTTAGACATGTCACACATACAGAGACATTTAGACATCTCACACATACAGAGACATTTAGACATGTAACACATACAGAGCCATTTAGACATGTAACACATACAGAGACATTTAGACATGTCACACATACAGAGACATTTAGACATGTAACACATACAGAGACATTTAGACATGTAACACATACAGAGTCATTTAGACATGTCACACATACAGAGACATTTAGACATGTAACACATACAGAGCCATTTAGACATGTAACACATACAGAGACATTTAGACATGTCACACATACAGAGACATTTAGACATCTCACACATACAGAGACATTTAGACATGTAACACATACAGAGCCATTTAGACATGTAACACATACAGAGACATTTAGACATGTAACACATACAGAGACATTTAGACATGTCACACATACAGAGACATTTAGACATGTAACACATACAGAGACATTTAGACATGTCACACATACAGAGCCATTTAGACATGTAACACATACAGAGACATTTAGACATGTAACACATACAGAGACATTTAGACATGTAACACATACAGAGACATTTAGACATGTAACACATACAGAGACATTTAGACATGTAACACATACAGAGACATTTAGACATGTAACACATACAGAGCCATTTAGACATGTAACACATACAGAGCCATTTAGACATGTAACACATACAGAGACATTTAGACATGTAAAATACATACATTTAGACATGTAACACATACAGAGACATTTAGACATGTCACACATACAGAGCCATTTAGACATGTCACACATACAGAGACATTTAGACATGTCACACATACAGAGACATTTAGACATGTAACACATACAGAGACATTTAGACATGTAACACATACAGAGCCATTTAGACATGTAACACATACAGAGCCATCTAGACATGTAACACATACAGAGACATTTAGACATGTAACACATACAGAGCCATTTAGACATGTCACACATACAGAGCCATTTAGACATGTAACACATACAGAGACATTTAGACATGTCACACATACAGAGACATTTAGACATGTAACACATACAGAGACATTTAGACATGTCACACATACAGAGCCATTTAGACATGTAACACATACAGAGACATTTAGACATGTAACACATACAGAGCCATTTAGACATGTAACACATACAGGCCCGTTCTATGACACAAGTTGGTCAACATGGGACGGTCTGGTCAAGAGATAGGGCGTACGCTCGTTAACACGAACGTTTTCAGTTCTATTTTCAGGATTGTATCCAAGCATGTACCGAAACCCACCCGATTCTAACGATACTTGAAGACGCGGGATGGCGCCGATCTCACTATTGCATCATTGGCTATGGTCATATCAAAGTAACTCTACTGCACCTGACATATGGTGTGCTGGATCTTAAGAACAATTTTTCGGTTGTGTCCGAAATCGACAAACGCGATACCAACAAGTATTGTCACGTTAGGCTCCTCAACATTCTGTCAACTCGTCTTAGACTTATCGCGTCCAGAAACCAGAAATAAAAGATTGAATACAAATAGAAATAACATGTGTTTTAAAATAAATTGTCTTACTAAAAAAAAACATTGTCTTACCCTGTTATATTATTGTCTCAACCAGTCATATAATTGTCTTACCGTGTCATATAACTGTCTTACCGTGTAACTGTCTTACCCTGTAACCGTCTTACCCTGTAACTGTCTTACCCTGTAACTGTCTTACCCTGTAACCGTCTTACCCTGTAACCGTCTTACCCTGTAACCGTCTTACCCTGTAACTGTCTTACCCTGTAACTGTCTTACCCTGTAACTGTCTTACCATGTAACTGTCTTACCCTGTAACTGTCTTACCCTGTAACTGTCTTACCCTGTAACTGTCTTACCATGAAACGGAATCTTGGTTGCACTGTCTGCCAATACAGTGAAGGCGCTGTTGATTTTCTCAGAGCCGTAGGCAATCTGTGAGGGGGGGGGGAGAAGAAAGTTCAGTTGGGTGAGGTTCTCATAGCTTCACATATACGCTATATAGATAAACACTACAAGCATACACGCTGCATAGATACACAATATATATATACGCTAAATAGATACACAAATAGATAAGGGCTACATAGATACACGCTACATAGATACACGCTAAATAGATTCACGCTACATAGATACACGCTACATAGATACACGCTAAATAGATTCACGCTACATAGATACACGCTACATAGATACACGCTACATAGATACACGCTACATAGATACACGCTACATAGATACACGCTACATAGATTCACGCTACATAGATACACGCTACATAGATACACGCTACATAGATACACAATATATAGATAAGCGCTACATAGATACACGCTAAAAAGATTCACGCTACATAGATACACGCTACACACATACACGCTACATAGAAACACGCTACACACACACATGCTACATTGAAACACGCTAAATAGATTCACGCTACATAGATACATGCTACATAAAACACGCTAGGATAAAACTACTGGAGAACCATTCAGTGGTTTTATAGGAAACATATCGATCTATACGGGGAACGGTGGGTTAATGCAGTATAACTATGGGTTAATGCAGTATAACTATGGGTTAATGCTGTATAACTATGGGTTAATGCAGTATAACTATGGGTTAATGAAGTATAACTATGGGTTAATGAAGTATAACGATAGGTTAATGCAGTATAACTATGGGTTTATGCAGTATAACTATGGGTTAATGAAGTATAACTATGGGTTAATGAAGTATAACGATAGGTTAATGCAGTATAACTATGGGTTTATGCAGTATAACTATGGGTTAATGAAGTATAACTATGGGTTAATGCAGTATAACTATGGGTTTATGCAGTATAACTATGGGTTAATGAAGTATAACTATGGGTTAATGCAGTATAACTATGGGTTTATGCAGTATAAATATGGGTTAATGCTACATAACGATGGGTTAATGCAGAAAATTACAGTTAATGTAAATTAACTATGAAAATATCATAAACGTCAAACTTTTTTAAAAACTGACCTCAGCAAAAATAGCGAGTATAGCCACACCGTATGGTTTTGAAATGGCTTCCTTTAAAGATTTGAATAGATAGCTATTGTAGCACACTAAATGAATCTGGTGAATAAAATAGATAGCTGTTGTAGCACACTAAATGAATCTGGTGAATAAAATAAAAATATTCAGCATAACAGAGACACTTTAGCTTCAAAAATTGTTTCAATACACAACACAGAATTGGATTGTTTTCAAGTGTAGGCAAAAAATGATAGAATCAATTTTGTTTACTTGGCTCTTCAGGGGAGTACGAGGTGCGGTTTCATGGCACTGTTATATGGCAGAGTTGTATGGTGCAGTTGTATGACACAGTTGTATGGCACTGTTGTAGCGGTACAGTTAAATGGTAGTTGTGCGCGGTATCATTGTTTACCCTCCCCCTGTCCCCGTCCCCCAGTTCCTGCCCCCCCCCTCTACCCCTAGGTTTAATTGCCCGTGACCAGGCTGTAATTCTGGTCTATAAATAACTCAACACTGGTTTACACGTCGGTTTATGGTGAGTAAAAGTTCCCGGCAAAGCTGTCGTATAAGCGAGTACGAGATTCAGGTTTTCAAAAACTTGATCTAGTTCTAGATTTTTCATCTCACTTTGTGGTGGTGGTGGTGTAGCAGCTCCCCACAACGTGATGTTGTATCTTCATGTGATGTTGTGTTTACTGTCTTCGTGTGATGTTGTGTTTACTGCCTTCATGTGATGTTGTGTTTACTGTCTTCATGTGATGTTGTGTCTTCATGTGATGTTGTGTTTACTGTCTTCATGTGATGTTGTGTTTACTGTCTTCATGTGATGTTGTGTTTACTGTCTTCATGTGATGTTGTGTTTACTGTCTTCATGTGATGTTGTGTTTACTGTCTTCATGCGATGTTGTGTTTACTGTCTTCATGTGATGTTGTGTTTACTGTCTTCATGTGATGTTGTGTCTTCATGTGATGTTGTGTTTACTGTCTTCGTGTGATGTTGTGTTTACTGCCTTCATGTGATGTTGTGTTTACTGTCTTCATGTGATGTTATGTCTTCATGTGATGTTGTGTTTACTGTCTTCATGTGATGTTGTGTTTACTGTCTTTATGTGATGTTGTGTTTACTGTCTTCATGTGATGTTGTGTTTACTGTCTTCATGTGATGTTGTGTTTACTGTCTTCATGTGATGTTGTGTTTACTGTCTTCATGCGATGTTGTGTTTACTGTCTTCATGTGATGTTGTGTCTTCATGTGATGTTGTGTTTACTGTCTTCATGTGATGTTGTGTTTACTGTCTTCATGCGATGTTGTGTTTACTGTCTTCATGCGATGTTGTGTTTACTGTCTTCATGTGATTTAAACTGTGTTTACCACGATGGGACGCCTGATTTCAACTGTGTTTACCACGATGGGACGCCTAATTTCAACTGTGTTTACCACGATGGGACGCCTGATTTCAACTGTGTTTACCACGATGGGACGCCTGAATTCAACTGTGTTTACCACGGCATTATGGGACGCCTGATTTCAACTGTGTTTACCACGATGGGACGCCTGAATTCAACTGTGTTTACCAACATGGGACGCCTGATTTCAACTGTGTTTACCACGGCATTATGGGACGCCTGATTTCAACTGTGTTTACCACGATGGGACGCCTGATTTCAACTGTGTTTACCCATGCGGCAAGAGAAACGCCGAGGAGACAAAAGCGACCCAGATAATCAAATCAATCGGCAATGGCCGGTAAAACATGTTACATGCTGTATACGCTGTACGCTCACCGATTGATTTTCAGGAACTTTTTGCTGGTCTTTTACGCCATCGCGCAGTAATTCGCTACAGTTGGTTAAATCTTAGCCAGATAGCCACAAAATGCCGTCCTATCTGGCTAAACAAGAGATCTTTATCTCTTTAAAATATTTCTGTACAAAAAGTTTTTAGTTTCTGAACTTCTCCTTTACGGATCAAACAAAATTTATTTTAAAAGCTTTTAGGATGTCTCAGTCTAGCTAAAATCTGACACTTCACAAACTGACCGGCCAGTTCGAGAACCACCTCATAATGACCGACAAATGTCAGAATGTTTTCTTTGCTGCGGATATTGGCGAGCCAGTTCGCAAACTGGCTAAGGGCTACCAACTAAGGAGATAATTCGTAAATTTAGACAGTTTGTAAACTTACACTGTTATTATCATGAAAATATAAATATTACTTAACGTAAATTACAAAAACAAATACATTATTTCATTGTGGTATTCTCAAAATCTGTAATTCTACACAATTTCCATTGCTATGTTACCAAGTTTAACATCGACACTTCCTATTATATATATATATACATATATATATATATATATATATATATATATATATATATATATATATATATATATATATAGCTTGGTAACATAGCAATGGAAATTGTGTAGAATTAGACCCCAAAGTAGGCCTATAAATGCCTATAAATATATCGCTGAATCTAGATTGGGCGCGGGTTGGCACGAATTAGGCGCCAACCAGCCTGAACAGATGAAGGTGGTACCAACCTCAGCACTGAAAGCCTTCCCGTCAATCCGATGCTCTGAGCCGACGCTGTTCGTCTTACCGAGGTGGATTTGAACCTGCGCCAGACGGTACGTGTACATGAACGGGCCGTCGCTGAAGTTGGCGCTGAACTTGATGACGTCATCGAGTGTGAGGATGAGATTGTTTCCCGCGTTCTGGAAGATTCCATCGACCTGTGGGCGCAGGAAACTAAAGTCAGTTCACCGACGGTCAGCTGGTGTATAAAACATTATGAACACGGCCGATAGAGATACGAATAACCCGACTTACGAATAACCCGCCTTACGAATAACCCGACTTACGAATAACCCGACTTACGAATAACCCGACTTACGAATAACCCGACTTACGAATAACCCGACTTACGAATAACCCGACTTACGAACGACTTGGGATAAAAGTGACCTGGGGTATGAACTTTACGAAAAAAAAATTCGACACTTTGTAAAAAAAAAAAGTTAATTCCGCTATTTAAAAAAAAGATTGTTACAAGACATCAAGTCAAAAGATAAAAAAAAAATAGAAGGGGGTCGTCTGACTTGATCACTTGAATTACGTGGGGGCAGGGGAGGGGGGGGCAGGTTTGTTGTCATGTCTGTAAAGTCACTAGGTCAAGGCTGAATTTAATGGCAAAATTCTGGCACTGGCCATTTAATAACCACTGTTAGACGAACACAGACCATAAAAGACCACAACATGACCACACCATGACCACAACATGACCACATCATGACCACTGACCACACCATGACCACACCATGACCACACCATGACCACACCATGACCACAACATGACCACACCATGACCACACCATGACCACACCATGACCACAGACCACACCATGACCACACCATGACCACAGACCACACCATGACCACACCATGACCACACCATGACCACAGACCACACCATGACCACACCATGACCACACCATGACCACACCATGACCACACCATGACCACACCATGACCACACCATGACCACACCATGACCACAACATGACCACACCATGACCACACCATGACCACACCATGACCACACCATGACCACACCATGACCACACCATGACCACACCATGACCACACCATAACCACTGACCACAGACCACACCATGACCACACCATGACCACACCATGACCACACCATGACCACACCATGACCACACCATAACCACTGACCACAACATGACCACACCATGACCACACCATGACCACACCATGACCACAACATGACCACACCATGACCACACCATGACCACACCATGACCACACCATGACCACACCATGACCACACCATGACCACACCATGACCACACCATAACCACACCATAACCACTGACCACAGACCACACCATGACCACACCATGACCACACCATGACCACAACATGACCACACCATGACCACACCATGACCACACTATGACCACAGACCACACCATGACCACACCATGACCACACCATGACCACACCATGACCACACCATGACCACACCATGACCACACCATGACCACACCATGACCACACCATAACCACTGACCACAGACCACACCATGACCACACCATGACCACACCATGACCACAACATGACCACACCATGACCACACCATGACCACACCATGACCACACCATAACCACTGACCACAGACCACACCATGACCACACCATGACCACACCATGACCACAACATGACCACACCATGACCACACCATGACCACAGACCACACCATGACCACACCATGACCACACCATGACCACACCATGACCACAGACCACACCATGACCACACCATGACCACAGACCACACCATGACCACACCATGACCACACCATGACCACACCATGACCACACCATGACCACACCATGACCACACCATGACCACAACATGACCACACCATGACCACACCATGACCACACCATGACCACACCATGACCACACCATAACCACTGACCACAGACCACACCATGACCACACCATGACCACACCATGACCACACCATGACCACACCATGACCACACCATGACCACACCATAACCACTGACCACAACATGACCACACCATGACCACACCATGACCACAACATGACCACACCATGACCACACCATGACCACACCATGACCACAACATGACCACACCATGACCACACCATGACCACACCATGACCACACCATGACCACACCATGACCACACCATGACCACACCATGACCACACCATGACCACACCATGACCACACCATGACCACACCATGACCACACCATAACCACACCATGACCACACCATGACTACACCATGACCACAGACCACACCATGACCACACCATGACCACACCATGACCACACCATGACTACACCATGACCACACCATGACCACACCATAACCACTGACCACAGACCACAACATGACCACACCATGACCACACCATGACCACAACATGACCACACCATGACCACACCATGACCACACCATGACCACACCATAACCACTGACCACAGACCACACCATGACCACACCATGACCACACCATGACCACACCATGACCACACCATGACCACACCATGACCACACCATGACCACACCATGACCACACCATGACCACACCATAACCACTGACCACAGACCACACCATGACCACACCATGACCACCCATGACCACAACATGACCACACCATGACCACACCATGACCACACCATGACCACAGACCACACCATGACCACACCATGACCACACCATGACCACACCATGACCACACCATGACCACACCATGACCACACCATGACCACACCATGACCACACCATGACCACACCATGACCACACCATGACCACAACATGACCACACCATGACCACACCATGACCACAGACCACACCATGACCACACCATGACCACACCATGACCACACCATGACCACACCATGACCACAGACCACACCATGACCACACCATGACCACACCATGACCACAACATGACCACACCATGACCACACCATGACCACACCATGACCACACCATAACCACTGACCACAGACCACACCATGACCACACCATGACCACACCATGACCACACCATGACCACACCATGACCACACCATGACCACAGACCACACCATGACCACACCATGACCACACCATGACCACACCATGACCACACCATGACCACACCATGACCACACCATGACCACACCATGACCACACCATGACCACACCATGACCACACCATGACCACAGACCACACCATGACCACACCATGACCACACCATGACCACACCATGACCACACCATGACCACACCATGACCACACCATGACCACACCATGACCACAGACCACACCATGACCACAGACCACACCGTCACCACTGACCGTGTCTGGCACATCAATGCTCATCCGCCTGAGCTTGGGGTCAAAGAGCAGAAGTCTGGGCTCGATGTTGATGGGTGACTGGAACTTTCCGCTCCTGCAGATCATCCACTCGGGGTTCAGCAGACTCCACGAGTCCGGGGCTGGGGGGGGGGGGGGGCACATCAAATCAAACGTGTGAGAACATACATGTGAGTTTATACATACACCATATAAAGTCAGTTTATACACGTGACAAATAAAGAAAGAATGAATATCTAACAATTTTTTAAACTGACTTTTCTGAAAGAAATGTAAAAATGTATTTATTATCCATATATATACATACAGATATATATACTAACACAACAACGCACACACATGGGTATATATATATATATATATATATATATATATATATATATATATATATATATATATATATATATACGCGGGTATGTATGTATCCCTAATTTTCTTACAAGACAGACGCTCCGACATAGATAAAGAAAAACCAACTGATGAGGCCGTACATTTGATTCGTGCCAGCGACCACTAGAGAATAGATTAGATGTCTAAAAAATTGGCCCCGCCTGTAAGCCATAACGAACCCAACAATATTTTTTTTTAAATATGTCGTGGGTGGTTCAGGGTTCAAACATGAGATATGTGTATAGTGAATAGGGAGGTGTACGGCAAATAGAGAGGAAATGTGTACGGCGAATAGTGAGGTGTTCGGCGAATAGAGAGGAAATGTGTACGGCGAATAGAGAGGAAATGTGTACGGCAAATAGTGAGGAAATGAGTACGGCGAATAGAGAGGAAATGTGTACGGCAAATAGTGAGGAAATGTGTACGGCAAATAGAGAGGAAATGTGTACGGCGAATAGAGAGGAAATATGTATGGCGAATAGACAGAAAATGTGTACGGCGAATAGTGAGGAGAGTGTTCTGAGTTCCCTACACCGGTGAGTCGAGAAGAAATAAAAGAGCTGACTTATTCAAGGCAAGCTGATCAAACGGTATCAGCTGATAGTTCTCTCTGTGGGTTAGTTGAACCTAACGTAGTCATATATTCCTGTGTAAAGGATCTGGATATACATATCCCATATCTAACAAGCTGTCCTCGTGTCTGTTGGACTGGTCATTGTCCGTGTAATCCTGGCTAATTGTTTGACACAAATATCACTGTGACATTTACCTATGTTGACAAAGTTCTCTAAAACCCGGAAACTTTAGTATTCAACACTCGCTTTTGGTCACAACATGCGCTGCGCACATACAGACACACGCACACACACACACACACACACTCACACACACACACACACATATATATATATATATATATATATATATATATATATATATATATATATATATATATATATATATATATATATATATATATATCCATACATATACATACATACATATTTAGGGGCCCCAAAAACAATTCTGCGGGGGAGGGGGGGGGGCTTTTTTCCCAGTTCCGCCACTATTCTTAGCACTTTAATTTATCATTAATTTTATCTGACTCACTTAAATTAACCACCAACCTCACATATAAAGCGTGGACAGAACATAAACAACCCTACAACTACTCACATTTTCGCCACGTGTCAACAGAATAAATATATCATTTCATCAATACATTCGTTTCGTAATTTTTTTTTAAGTTACGGATCCCAAAAATTGAAATCCACTCGCCTAATTTAATGTCATTAATAACTCAAACATGGGTGAGGCGAACACTCATACAAACACTCATACAAACACACATTCAAACACACATGCAAACGATCTGAAATGTAAACTCGGCGAGCGCTCCCCTTGAATAGCGTCCCATTCATCAAGCCTTTCAGCCATGTTTCTCCATCCAACTCGTCCTTTTGTCCAGCGGGGTTTCCCGTCCACCCGCCCATCAACTCAATTAACGTCACTTGTAAAATAAGCAGGTCTACAGCTCACTGCGCATGACTGGTTCTTACGTCCGGTGTTTTTTTTTCTTCTTGCTGGTTGAAACTGGAAGATAATCACGTGACCGTGTAATGTGGAAGCCACAGCCCACGCGCCATTAAAGTCACGTGCTCCAGTGCTCCGGGCTCGTTAGATTTCTTCCACAGCGCAGGTTTGCATGTACGCCCGGTCTCGCTAAGTAACGAAAGACACCAGCAATCACGCGCATGAAGATCTGGACCTCGCATGTACGGCTGACGTCAGCTGGTCACGTGATTTACTTATAAATGAACCGTAAACTGCACTTAGGCCTTTTGTTTCAGCTTCAGAGGGGATTGATTGGAGCTTTGTTCAGCCTTAGGAGTAGGTTATGCAGCCGTTAGATGTAGGTCATACAGCCGTTAGATGTAGGTCATACAACCGTTAGATGTAGGTCATACAGCCATTAGATGTAGGTCATGCAGCCATTAGATGTAGGTCATGCAGCCATTAGATGTAGGTCATGCAGCCGTTAGATGTAGGTCATGCAACAATTAGATAAAGGTTATGCAGCTATATTTTGTAGGTTGATAAAACCTATCCTATGTGCCACAATTATGTAGGTTAATAAAACCTATCCTATGTGCCACAATTATGTAGGTTTATAAAACCTATCCTATATGACATAATTATGTAGGTTGATAAAACCTATCCTATATGACAAAATTATGTAGGTTGATAAAACCTATCCTATATGACAAAATTATGTAGGTTGATAAAACCTATCCTATATGACACAATTATGTAGGTTGATAAAACCTATCCTATATGACACCATTATATAGGTTTATAAAACCTATATGACACAATATGTAGGTTGATAAAACCTATATGACACAATTATGTAGGTTGATAAAACCTATCCTATATGACACAATATGTAGGTTGATAAAACCTATATGACACAATTATGTAGGTTGATAAAACCTATATGACACCATTATATAGGTTTATAAAACCTATCCTATATGACACAATTATGTAGGTTGATAAAACCTATATGACACCATTATATAGGATTATAAAACCTATCCTATATGACACAATTATGTAGGTTGATAAAACCTATAGCTGACACTCCTACAAACATTTGTGATCGATCTGTAGAAGCATTTCCTGTTGTAGATGGACGGGGGGGGGGGGGGGGGGGGGGGGGGGGGCGGAGGTGGAGAAAATCAGACCGCTCCCATCACTGATGGTAAAATCAGTGTTCGATTATAGAAGGGTCAAGGTCAAATATTGGTCAACAGTTTTCACGGTTGGTCTCACACAGCAATGTTCAAGCGTCGGTTTTTTTTTTGATATCCGGCGACGGCATCAAAGTAATGACGTCATCGCGACAGACCAATCGCTAACCACCCTAAAGGCACGTGATCTCTCATGCGAAAAGACTAAATAAAAAAGAGTAAATAATAAGAGGCAAAAGTCACACACGTTTTTCCCCCGTCAATCTGTAAGTTTAGTTTTGTTTAGTGTTGTTGAATAGTTTCCACTTTTAATAATGGATTTGATCCGTGTACGTATTAGGAAATATGTTATCTTGTGGGGCAAATAAGGATAACTTAAAAGAAAAGATACTTTTGTAAGTGACACTAAAATGGCACAAACATATCATTCTGAATTAGATGGTCGACAGTTTGTCCTTTATTTCTTCAAGCTATATCTCCATGGCAACCATAGTGAAGTATATTTTCCATCTGGTCCAGATAAGCCTCGCCAAAAAGTTAACCCACGCCACCCCAAAAGAAGTTATAAATAAACCGGGAGTGATCTCCCCTAAACTTTCTCGAATATTCGTATTTGAAACAACAGGGGATGGCAACTCGGGATATAGACATGATTTTTAATCCATTTTCATTACTTAAACTTTTTAAAATAGAATAAAATCTCGTAGAAAAAAGAATTGCACACCAAGTGAACGCCAAATAAAATGTGCATCATAGTTCGCAATATTCTTAGTACTTTATAAATTTACAATCGCTTTTTGAGAAATCGGAAATAGCGAAAACTACTACTTCCAGTCAACGGAAATTACTCATAATTTAACAGAAGACAGAGAATTGGATCGTTTACTTACATGTGAAATTTCATTTATCTATCTGAAATAGTACTCAAGTTTTAGGCTTTTGAAAAATTCAAGGTAGAAAAAGCTCCACTTCCGGTTATCGGAAATCGCTCAAAAGTTGATACGTATCTACGATTTTGATAAAATATTTATATATGAAATTTCATCAACCTAGCTGTAACGGTACTCAAGTAATCGTGTTTACACACGGACAGACACACACACAGACAGACAGACACACAGACTTACGGACAAGATTGCAAAATTATGTTTTTCCGTATCAGTGAGGTGTAAAACGTCGAGATTTATAAAAATCTCGATTTTTTTTTTGCACGATTACAATACTTTCTCTATACTTCGTATATACGAGAAAGTAAAAAAAGATTAAAGTTTTTACATTTCTGTTAATGATGTATCATTACTACAAAACACTTTTGACTTGCTACAACAAAATGAAAGCTAAAAAACAGACTTACCGGCAAGTCCATCGTAGGCCCACCAATCAGAATACGGAGAATTTGCTGCTGAGGAAAACAAACGATCTGATAAAATCTGACAACAAACTACATCTCTAAAACACTGGGTTACAATAAACATTCAAACTTTTATTACTTAAAACCATAATAAAATTGTAAAAATTAAACAAAAGTTTTTAAAGATCTTTTATAATAATAAGCTTTTTATGCTCTAAAAATACATATTTTAAAACTTGCTTTCTTTTGTGAAAGCTTTGAAATGTCTAATACATTTTAGCGAAATGGCAGTAGAACTATCAACATGCCCCTCCCACACGCTACCCCCCCCCCCCCCCCACCACCACACCCCATGCCATTTACCCACTGAATATTAGCCCCGCCCAAACATTGACGTAGGACATTGTCCCCCCTTTCCCACCCCCACCCCCCTGTTGATCAGTGTTTCTTCTAGACTTTTTTCTTCGGTGACGGGGGCGGGGGGTGGGGGGGGGGGGTAGGGGGGGGGCTCTTGATATTTTCGGGGGGGGGGGGGGGGGCGAACACTGGTAAAAGTATATGTTTCCTATATAAATCCCATTTCGTTCAGGGCC